CCCCAATAAAGATATGGATTTTTTATTTAATATAGGCAATCATCCTATAAAACTTGAACACTGTAAGCCAAATGGAACTTATATTATGCTTCAGGAACCAACATTTTCAGTGTTAAGGTCATTGTGACCCTGACTTTTGACCCTAAAATCAATAGGGGTCATGTATTGGACATGGCTGTTCATCCTATAAAATTTTACAGCTGCAGGTTGATTAATACTTAAGTTATTCAGCGAAAACCGTTTTCAGTTTTAAGTTAATAATGACTGACCTTGTGACCCCAAAATCAATAGGGGTCTTCAACTCAATATGGACAATCATCCTATGAAGTTTGAATATTGTGGGCCAAATGGAACTTAAGTAATGCTCCGGAAACCAAATTGCTAACGAACGAACAGACAGACGGACGGACGCCATGGTGTATAACATAATATGTCCGAAATTCTTTCGGGCATATAAAAAATCGGTTCATTTCCCCACAATATATAAAACTAATCCGGGGGTGGTTCGGCCGTGATTATAATTTGCTGGTTAGTAACATTACTGTCAATTTACTTATTATTATAACTGCCAACATGCGTTTCTCAATCTCAGATAAAATTCTAAATTTATTGTCGCAATAAAGCGACATATAAATACTTGTCATAATACTGGATAACATAAACCTATACAGCTGTAGAACTTATTTTTGTTATTTATTGTTAATCCATACAGTCAAGCCCTTAAAACACTTATCCGGGGATTTAAAAATTATTTCAAGGTTTTGTAGACAATTATTTAAACGTGTGTACTTTATAGCGGGGGGGGGGGGGGTAATCTTTTGTTTTTATACTTTCAGTTAATCTTTGCACTTAATTAAAGGAACTTTGCTACCAAATGTAAATATGAGCCGTGTCACGACAAAACCAACATAGTGCGTTTGCGACCAGCATGGATCCAGACCAGCCTGCGCATCCGCGCAGTCTGATCAGGACCCACGTTGTTTGCTGTCAGTTTCTCCACTTGTAATAGAGTTGGTAAGCGAACAGCATAGATCCTGATCAGACTGCGCGGATGCGCAGGCTGGTCTGGATCCATGCTGGTCGCAAACCCATTATGTTGGTTTTGTCGTGACGCGGCTCATATCAAACTAAAATCAAACCTACACTAACGTGTTATAAATTAATTACACCACTCACTTTATTCTATGAAATAATTATGCTATAGTTTTGTTATTAAAGTACATCAACGATTTAATTGTGAGATATGGTTATTGCAACGGGAGTGTTTTATCATTTTATCGGGGGGGGGGGGGGATTTCTGGCAAGCAAAACAAGAAGTGTGGAATCATTTTGCGTGTTTCAATTTTTTCATTCAAGTTTTTTTACACGCTACATTTAAATGATCGTCAGGTTAGTGTGCCAGTTTTAAGCATTTTTTGTTTCAAATACATGTAATATATAATATATATAAAATGTTGGACACTTTACAGTGGGCATGTGTTTTGGGAACGAATATCAAACAATAAATCTATAAGTTACCTCCAACATTAAATGTATACATGCATATACTAACAAGCAAAAAAAAAAAAGACCCGCACTCGGGCTTAAATTATGAAATGTTATTTTTGTATATCAAAGTGACAATATGCTCATTGTCAAGTTCAAGTGAATTGACTATGTATTTCAAAAGATTGACTATAATTTATTGGTGATTAACCAATAGCTGACATAGGAAAATGTTTAGGATATACATGTAATACAAATCTGCCTTAAAAGAATTCCATTGAGGTTTGAAAGCCTAAAAATATAAAATTTGAATTTTTTTACATGAATGAGCTGGGGCATTTGTCACAGAAATATAATGCAAAGATAGTTAGGAAATATTCTTTGAAATAAATTGAAAATCGTATGTTTATGCTTTTCTCTACCCGATTTGAGTGAAAAGCGTTTAAGAGTGAAAAGCGTTTAAACGCTTTTCATTTTGGGTCATTTTTTCACAATTTGAATAATTATTCTGCAAAAACACAGTGTGCGAGTGTTCGAAAATTTGCACAAAGATTAGTGGTCTAAACCTACATCAAATGGTACATTTATCGAGAAAAAATATTTTCAGTCCCATCATGTCAAAAAACCACAGTGGAGTCCCTTTAAATATAAAAGACTTTCCCATTCCGATGGATATTTACAGAAATTTTCTGGGCCCACATGACTCATTTATCATTCATGCTTAAGTAAATTATTAAAGTAAAAGAAACAAGCAATTATCATAGTATTGCAAGCAATCCATAAGTCCCCTACCGGTTAGAACCCCATCAACATTCTGAAGGGCCATTGGCCATTCACTAATGTTTCAATTTTTCTCTATTTTAAGGGGCGTCCGTGGTCGAGTGGTTAAGGTCGTTGACTTCAAACCACTTGCCCCTCACCGCTGTGGGTTCGAATCCCGACAGGGACTTTGGATTCTTTCATGTGAGGAAGCTATCCAGCTAGCTTACGGAACGTCGGTGGTTCTACTCAGGTGCCCGTTCGTGCCTGAAAAAATGCACGGAAGGGCACCTGAGGTCTTCCTCCACCATTAAAGCTGGAACGTCGCGATATGACCTATACTGTGTCGATGTGACGTAAAACCCAAAACAAACAAATTCTCTATTTTAAAAAAAAATTGTTGGAAAAGTTCTTTAAAAGTGATCACAGGATACAGGTTTTTATGAACAGACAGACAGATGGACTGAATGACACTCTAAAGTTAATATTTGAAACATCCCTGTTACCAAAATACATTGTATAACATTTTAAAAGCAAAATTCTTAAAGAGGAGATTGCTCTTGAAATAAAGATGCAATTTCATAAAAATGTTCAGCTCTTTTTGACTAATCACAAATATTGTTATATTTGCCATGTTTTAAGCCTATTTGTTGCCAAGGCAACTGATATTTTTTTCAAAATAGGAAGAACAGATAAGGCATGCATAATCTCAAGACTGCTAGCTACCCATATGTCAAGTTTCATAAAAATATTTCCAGTACTTTTTGAGTTATCACTGGATTCAGTTTATGTGTAAAATTTGCCATATTTTCAGTCTATGTGTTGCCATAGCAACCAGAATTTTCAACATAGGAAGAAAAGAAAAAAACGTGCATAATTTCAAGACTGCCATCTACCCATATGTCAAGTTTCATAAAAATATTTCCAGTACTTCTTGCGTTATCACTGTATCCAGTTTATGTGTAAAATTTGCCATATTTTCAGCCTATTTGTTGCCATAACAACCAGAATTTTCAACATAGGAAGAAAAGAAAAAGACGTTCATAATCTCAAGACTGCCATCTACCCATATGTAAAGTTTCATAAAAATATTTCCAGTACTTTTTGCGTTATCACTGGATCCAGTTTATGTGTAAAATTTGCCATATTTTCAGCCTATTTGTTGCCATAGCAACCAGAATTTTCAACATAGGAAGAAAAGAAAAAGACGTGCATAATCTCCATACTGCCATCTATCCATATACCAAGTTTCATATAAATATTTTCAGTACTTTTCAAGTTATCGCGGGATCCAGTTTTGCGGACGGACGGACTGACGGACGGACAGACAGACGGACGGACAGACGGACGGACGGAGGGTAAACCTAAAGTCCCCTCCGGTAAACCGGTAGGGGACTAATTAAATTTAACTTTCATCTGTTCACTCTTGTTATACCCTCGGCTGAGCATATAATGTCACTTATATTAATTTCATAGCTAGGTAAGTATATCATAATACATAGTCTTAATTCATCACATGAATATTTTAACACGAATTGGACACCAAAAACTGACTTTTTTATCCATTTCAAGACAGATATCCAATTTCAAAATTCACAAAACTTTCTATTCTTTTTTCTTCTTCTTCTTTTCTTCGAGTAGAAAGTGAATGCCCTCCCAGAGCTGTAATGTACACTAAGTATCTCCTTATGAAACGTTCTTACTCTTGGACTATTTTCCCACTCTTGATCTAAGGCACACAAACGCTGTGTAAGAATGGGCGATGGTAATAGAAAAACAAAAAACACACAGGAAATATGCAGGTCTAATCCACAATGAAATAAAAAAATACGGTTATCGTTTTGGTGACATGGACAAATGTCCATCAAAATGATTGACGTCATTCTTAAACGGAGGTATGCCTGAAAACAACTTATTTAGCGATCTTTGATAATGATTTACTTTTTTTGTAAAAAAAATCTTCACCCTTTACCTTATATATATATGTATATACGTGATTCTACGCATTTTCTACCCCCCCCCCCCCCTCTTTGAGACCTCAAGTAGTGAAAAAAATGTCCAATTTAGGCCACAAACACTTGTTTTCGTTTGAGAAATGTTGTTTAAAAAGTGACCACTTTTTCGGCGGCGCCACCTATCAAAAATGTACATCAAGGGGGTGCCAGAGGGGGGATGTGCCCATTCTGTTTTGAGGTTTGAAGGGGGGCAATAACCCTCTAATCTCAAAGACATTTTTTTTACTTGTGAGAGGCTAATTATGGCCTTCGGTCGATCTTAATATCACATGTAACCAACGCTGAAATGCCTTTACTATATCTCAATCCATTGAGAAGTTGCAGCACTTTGAAATCAGTTTTGATAGGAAAAAAACGACGCAAAATAGTGATTTTTGGCAATTTTGAGACTCCCCCCCCCCCGTTGCCATGGTAACAAGAAATTTAAGATTGACCATGCTGTTACAAGGGCTATGGTCCAGTCAACATTTGTGCCAAATTTGAACAGTATTAAAGCATTTTTTTTTATAGTTTCATAGCAATTTGAAGTTGCAACAGGAGGCTGTTCAATGAAAACAGCCATTTATTAACAAAATGCTTCTGGGCGTAATGGCTTAACTAAAACAAGAATCTCTTCTCTGATTAAGAAATTAACCCGCCAATTTTTCATGTGGTGCCCTGCTCAAATAACTATTTTCACATGTACACACTTCATTTCACTAGTGCGAATCATTTGTATCAAATATATAAAATAGTCGAAAATTTCTAAATAAATTTTATTTAGTCAGTGTCTAATTATCACAATTGGCATCAGATTAATACTATTATTTTATCCAGAGACATAGATAACATGTTACATACATCTCTACTTTATCATATACATGTGTATTTGTATATGTTTTTTTTTTTCTTTCCACTTTGGAATGATACATTGAAAGCTACATTCCCATGCCGTTATATGACACGTCTTGTATAAAACCGTTCTGAATTAATTTATTACACTTGCATCAATAAATGTATCCAAGTTTGTTCATCACTCATCCAGTTTTTGTTTCTTTTCTTCAGGATTTCCATCAGATTCAGTATTCTTACTAATGGGAGATGATAAGGTATCGCTAATCCATTTTAAATACGGTTCATTTCCGTCATCTATCTGAAATTACAATGTATAAAATCAACTTCTATTACTATCAGCGTTTTTTAATTTTTTTTGTTGGCTGGGCAGGGGGGGGGGGGGGGGTACGTCGCACCAAATATGGCAAATTTCCAGCTTTACTGGTGAAGGAAGACCTCAGATTCCCTTCCATGCATTATTTCAGGCACGAACGGGCATCGAGAAGAAAAACCGACGTGCCGTAAGATCATCATTTATTTTAAATTATTTGTGAAAGTTGCCTGTTTACAATTAAACATGGAAAAATCAGATTTTTTGTGAAATACATAAGTTACTTCTTAATGCATTGATACTGACTATTGCTTTCATTGTAATACGACAATGGATGGAATCTACCTAAATTCATTAAACAATTACATTTATAAATGATGACGTTGATCTGGGATATTCATATGTCAACTTCTTTGCACAGGGAATACATGTACCGGGTTCAAGGCCTCCTTGGAGCATGGTAAGATATCCTACATTGAAATAGTACCGATTAAAGTTGACGAAGCTATGTCGAGTTCGCTCCCTTGACTAAACCAGAAAATCAAGACGGTAAACAAGACCATAATTTGAACAGAGCGAGAAATCACGTGCCATGGGGTTGAGAATTTCCACTGGTGTTTTCAGCTTAAAACACCCCTTACACCCCGATACCATTCATATTCCTCCATGATTCACATATACATGTATATATTCTTTATTAAAGTCTCATCCATACATACCAACATATCAAATAGTTCAATTACATAATATTACAAGATAAAAGTTGTTTGTGAACGGCCATTCCATTCTGAATAACAAGAGACTGTAAAAGTAACACAGTGGAGGGGAGGCACATCATAGACATTTTGATAGAAGACAATTAGTACCAGATCAGTAAATCGCCGGCAATATTTCTGTATTACATACTGCATAGCAAATGCTACACATACATAAACATATGTACATACTATTAACTGATCAGATGTTTTTACTTTGATAAGAATTAGCAAATCAAACATATCAATGATCTCAAGAGTTCAGCACATTAACCTGTCTTCGTGAACAACCATTACTCGATCATTAGTAGTGTAGGAGGTTCAACCAATTTCAAACTTTTACTCTACCAATGCAAAAAAAAGATGTTTAAGAAAACAAAAACCAAAATATAAAGTTTACCTTTGAGCTTATTACTTCTGCACAATCATACGGGTGGTTCTCCCTGAAACAAACACAAACAATAGCTGCACAAAGTACATGGTTTTGTACGTATTATCAATATTTTGTAAGACCTTATAAAATATGATGAACACCAGCCCTAGGCTAATGTAATTCGTTGAAATTAAGCATAATGACTATACAAAAAGATGGTACAACTGTGCATACATTTGATATAATGATTTTTGTTTGTGTTTGTTGTCACTCCGGCACTATAATGTGGTCGCATGGCGATTCCAGCTTTACCGGTAGTTTGTTATATTACGCCTTTTCCCAACAGTATTTCAGTCATATAGGCGTGTAGTTTCCCAACCATCGTTCCTGGAGAGTAACACCAGTACAAGACTACCTTCCTCCGTGCTAAACTACCAAAGCATATCCCGGGGATCGAACCCAAGCCAGAGAGGTAACTGGATTAGAAGTCATCGACTCGAACCCCTCGACCACGGAGGCGGTTTTACCGGTAGAGGAACACCCCAGGTCACCAACCCAATTAAAAGTTAGCTGCTTAGCTTCTTCAACGAAGATATTCAAAAGTTTCTGGGTGCATGAAAACGTTTCTGGGTGCATGATTCGAAGCCACAGCGGTAAGGGGCAAGTGATTTGAAATCAACGACCTTAACCACTCGGACACGGACGCCAAAGTGAACACGTAAATCTGACTATTAAGTGATGATTATCATCATGATGTTGATTATTTCCCTTGGCAAAAAAAACCATCGGCCTTTGATAAAATCACTTGGATTAAGATAACGAAATCAAAGAAATGAGGTGGTATACCCCAGAAGTGTGTAACTACACTAGCAATGTGTCAAGTCAATGCTGTACATACCTTACATACTTGGACAATTCTGGAACTTTTTCTGAACTTGTTTTAATCATCTGAAAAAGTAATTAATGTGTTACAAAATACATATTTGATGATGAAAAAAAACTATTAATATTAACTGCAAAATTTTACATTCAACACGGAAAGCTATATATCCAAAGTTTGAAGAAATCATAATAATACTAGATTAAAAGACTAATTAATGTCCCTCGATTGCCAAAATCCATTGAATTTTTTTTTTCAACATGACGGACTGGAAATATTTTTTTTAGATTTATTTTATGTACAATTGAAGATATAGGTCTTATTTTATGTACAATTGTATAGGTCTTTTTATGTACAATTGAATATATAGGTCATTTTTATGTACAATTGAATATATAGGTCTTTATTATGTACAAGTGAATATCAGTCTTGATAAATAACTAGTGTGCGAGATTTCATATTATTTGCTCCGTTGGTTTTTCCAAATTAATTGAATAATGCAAACACAACGGCGACTCGAACCGGAGTATGAATCGCGCAAAAATATGATTGTAATTTTAGATCCAAGTATATACCTTTATTATCTTTTGTACCCCCATTTGATTTATTAACTAGATGCCCAAGTGTGCAACATGTCGAACCCGCTGTCACATCTGACCTTGAACTTTGACCAAGTCAAACGGTTCTTGCGCCCGAACATGCCATCTCATAATGTTGCACATTTGTGCCAGGTTATTTGAAATTCCACAAACTAGTTATAGAGTTGTAGTGCGGACAAGCTGTTTGAGACCATTTTTTGCAATTGACCTTAAAGTAAGACCTTGACCTTTGACCTAGCCACACGGTTCTTGCCCACGACACGACTCATTATTGTTAACATTTATGCTAATTTATTTGAAATTCTGCAGTCTAATGACAAAGTTACGACCCGGACAAGTATAACCCGGACGGACAGACGGACGGACGTACATACACCGAACTGCCGTTGTGACAACTATATCAAGCTCTCCGCAAACGGGCTCGACAAAAATCAAATTATATATTTTTTTAGGATTTTGAACCTTAGAGAAGTTCCTTTTAGAAATGGAAAACAAAACAAAACAGCTTCGGCTCTACCTACAAGTATCAGTTCAGAATCTTCGTTGATCTTGCCCTCCCATTCGTATCTGAAACAAATCAAAATTCTAACATTTTCCCTTTATTTTATAAAATGGACCTGGCCTTGTTTGACTTAGGAATCATCTACTATTGATTTAAGGGGTTTCAAAATCAGAATTCCAAGACTGCACACTTGAACGTTCTGGCACAAATGAATTTGGTATTTGTAAAATAGCAATCAATAAAATGCCATTAGGTTCCGCGAATTTGTTACTTAAAGCCGAAACTAGTTTGGGAAGTACATGAATTTGTCAAGAAGGGACCTTTGATTAAGACTTAAAAGTCATTTATAAATGGCGAACTTTCTTTATCCAAACTAATAACGACTTCCATTACACGTACATAAAAATGTATAAGGAACTCCGATATTTAAAGTGTGTAACTTAAGAGCCAAAAGTACATGCTACACGCGTATAGTTTTTTGTAGCGCTAATCGAGCATGGTAGTATAAAAAAGAATTAGTTGATTACAAAACAACAACAAAAACCACTATCATCATCTGTTTGTACAAAAAAACCCCGAAAAATTGCAAGTATTTAGAAACCTTTGTGCTAGAATTGAAAAAATTTAATACTTCCCGGGAATTTTAATGATGGAAAAATTTTAAACACACGCGGGCCATCCTGCTTAACAAGGGCCAAACGGGAAAAAAATCAAAAACTTTTCGTATGAAATTTTTAATTTTCGTTTGAAACATTTTTAATTTTAATTAACTTTTTGGGACATGCACTTCCCCTTATACACTTTTTTTTTACAACAAAACCCTGTTTCCCAAGGCAAAAATTTGGGAAGGGCCCATAAGGATTAACAAAATTTTTTTCGTTGATTGAAACGGAAAAAACAGCCCCCGTTAGGGAAATGTATAAAAAAAAAGGCTTCTAATGAATCCAAAAGGACACCAGCCTAATGCACATAGGCATTTCCGAGGTGTCTGTCCTTATGAAAAAGAGAAGGATGTTCCACCGTAACATATTTACCTTCTATTATTTGCTAATTTCTTACCGATAGTCATGTCGGTGATTAATAGATATGCTAATGGACGTTGCACCGTAACATGCTTCTATTCTTATTAACTTCTTACCCATAGGCATGTCGGGGCGATGAAGACAAATGCGTTAGAATATTATATTGTGACATACATATGTATTTACTATTTATCAGATATCACGGTACTTCTTACCGCAGAAATGACAAATCCGCGCAGTCTGATCAGGGCTTAACAACTCTATAACAAGTAGAGAAACTGATAGCGAACAGCATGGATCCTGATCAGACTGCGCGGATGCACAGGCTGATCCGGATCCATGCTGGTCGCAAACGCACTATGTTGGTTTTGTCGTGACACGGCTCAAATGTTATTGAATGCTTTACCGTGGTACAGTACCGGTTACATTCTTGGTATCGACATATTAAAGTACTATGGTGGCTTCTTACCTACAGACATGTCGGGGAAATTGACGATTACAATACAAGTTGTAACATAGTAACTACCTATATATTCTGAAGTTTTTGATACTGACATAATAAAGTACTTACTGTGCTAGCTTCTTACCGACAGCCATGTCGGGGACAGTGACAAATGCCATGGAATGTGTGCCGGCAACATAATTGCTAGTCATTCTGCTGAGGGAGCGGAAGGCGACACGACATAAACCATTCATACAACAACTGCTGAGGAATACCTGCACGGTAAAAAACAAGAGTGGTCGGAAAAATAGCATGCTCGGCTATTCTCAGTGCTTGATATCAAAGCTAAGGTCTGGATTATGTAAAAATCGCTGAGTTCAAAACGGCCCATAATTCTGTCAAAATCCATGTTAGAGTTACTGGCCTTTGACAGTGACATCATATAATAGACAGTAGTTTATTACAAGGGAGACAACCCTGGCATTTATACCAGTTGTCTCCCTTTACAAGTCGGATGTCTTCCTTTAAACTTTTGATTTGAGTTAATTTCCATGATGAATTTAGTTTCAAAACGTATAAAAGTGTGAGTGTATGTTTTACATTGTTAATGAATTTTATATTTATGTTTACAGTTTTTATGTAAAAATTCCCCGGGTGAGCATGTGGGCCCCTTTTTGAAGGGGAAAAGTGTATTTTTAAAAAGCCCGATCCTAAGGGTGCTAAACTTCGGGGTAAAGAACTTTTCCCGCATTAAATATGGGAAAAGTTTAATTTTTTTATTTGGGAAAATCCCCTATAAAAACAGCGTTTAAAATCAAAAACCCATTTTCTGGGGGTTTGATTTCCCGTCCTGTCCCCCGGGGTTTTGAAAATTTTTTTCTATTTTAAAACTATAAAAAAAATTTTCGTCCCCGTTATTCCCAAAGCAAACCCTCCTTTAACATTTATATAACTGCTTTCCCGAAAAGGTTTTTTTCCGGTTTCAGTTTGGGGAAAAATCTTCCAAAATTGGGGATAAAAAAAAGCTTAAAGTTTTGGTGAAGTGCCCAAATAAACTAAATAAAATATAGATCTAAATCGTTTTTCATTTTGACTATTTTATAACGGCAAGTCGCAATTACTTAAAAGTCACGTGACAACCCCCCCCCTGACTTTATGTGGGAATAATAATGCTCTACTGGTGGCCTTTCTGTAGAAAGGGTTTTAACGTATTTTCTTGCTGCGGAAACATTGACAATGCATACATGATTATAACTTCTGCATACATAAAAGGATTACAAAAATAAATAAAACAAATGCTCATTCAATCATTGTTATTTTTTTTATTCATATATCTAGTTTTGCAGCATAACAATTTCAAACAAAATGCAACAAAATTCTCATAGAATAAAATAAGGCTTTCTAACAAATTTTAATAACATAATTTATCAGATAAATTAATCAAACATATGCTTTGAACAATAAAAAAATGTTATGAACTACTTGTTGTTAACTTCTACCAAGAATGACTTAGAAAATGGCCAACAGCCAAAGCAAAACACTACAAAATCTAAATAACAAGCATTTACGACTTCATGAAAATTGGCATGTCTCTAAGACTTTTGCACATGGTTACATCGCACAATATTCCATAGTGAAGCCTGCTTCATTCGTAGGATTATGCATGGATATGTGTACTTTATATAATGATATGTAGTCGCAATAGATAGGTTCCCAATATTTTATTACAATATTTACCTCCCTTGCCAAAAGTGGTGTACAATATTTACCTCCCTTGCCAAAAAGTGGTTTACAATATTTACCTCCCTTGCCAAAAGTGGTTTACAATATTTTGCCTCCCTTGCCAAAAAGTGGTTTACTATATTAACCTCCCTTATCAAAAATGGTTAACAATATTTACCTCCCTTACCAAAAGTGGTTTACAATATTTACCTCCCTTGCCAAAAAGTGGTTTACAATATTTACCTCCCTTATCAAAAATGGTTAACAATATTTACCTTCCTTACCAAAAGTGGTTTACAATATTTACCTCCCTTACCAAAGTGGTTTACAATATTTACCTCCCTTGCCAAAAGTGGTTTACAATATTTACCTCCCTTGCCAAAAGTGGTTTACAATATTTACCTCCCTTGACAAAAGTGCCAACCAATTCAACCAGCCTCGTCAGGTCTTACAGTCTGGCTTTTATCTTTACTCACGGCATCACGACAGACTGCTCAATGTTATCAGTTTGAGACAGAAACCCCCTTGGAAGAGCAATAGCCAGTTCCTATTTCAAAGCAGGTCAAATCCATTACAGAAAATTTAGGGATGTCAATGATGCGTTTTCAGAAAAGATAATGAATGTTATCAATTATGATAAAATCTCCCGATTAAATCCCCTGAAAATATAATCCAACATGTATATCATGTAAGTTAATACATGTATTACGATTCGCCCAATTAACGATTCGCCATTTTATGGTTACCATATTTGATTCATGATTCGCCCCATTAACGATCCTTATTTTTGTTGGATCGTAAATGGGTCGAAACTAAATTATCTTGTGGCAACAATTTTATTCTTGCATAGATCTTTAGATATGTATGACGTCTAGATTGTCGGATGTTAATAACCAACATCCATATCACTGTTCAGCCTCGTTCACACTATTCAGTTCATTCTCCTTTCTGCTATTTAATTCCTCTCTCTCCTTTTGGAACTCTATATATTTTAAGTTCAACTCCTCTACTGTTGGAACTTTGAACAACTTTATAATGACGTCATCGTCTTGTCTTTGATACAACATCTCCCCGGGAAAGTCTAATAGACCGTGACGTCTAGCCCTCACCAAAAGGCCGACAACTTTGTCATTTATTCTCTCGTATGCTCTGAATAACTTTCCAAAAGTCACTTCCCAAGTACCGTCTGCTTTCTGTTCACCGATCGTTCGTATAGTGTCACAGCATTCGATTATGTTATTAGCGATAAAGTTTTTCGCTTTGTTTCCTCTATATTCCGTAAGCGTCCCTTCGACCGGCCGACCGTATTTGTCGTCTGCTTTTGTCAATTTCGTGCGTTTGTCCGCGCCCTTCCAGACTGCTTTGGCATTTTGTAAAACGTCTCTATATTTATTCCTGTCATTTCCCCAGAACTCACTAAACGGATTGATAAGCCTATCAACTTCATGGTTGTCGATTCTCTGCTGCCAGAAGTCCTTGTTTCGCTTCATACCATCACGGTCCACCATGCCATTTCTGACTTGTGGCGGTCGGTCAGGCGTGCTCATACCGGAAGGAATATCATCATCCCCGCACGCTCCTCCCCTTATATTTTTAAAAAAAGAAGCGTCAGATTGGCTTTTTATCATGTTTAGGAAGTGTGGAAATGTCTCTGACTTTCTTTCCGTTATATTAGCTGTAGAAGTGAGTTCAATATCAAACTTTGAGGTCTTATTTGAATTATATGCACGACTGTTTCTTTTAGATTTCTCTTTGTCAAGACCTGTAAGTAAACAAATGTGATCTATTTTCCACGTTACGAAAATCAACATTATCAACTTTTTCTATAAGTATTATTCACAATTATAATAAACACTGAAACTCTTACGTCTAAAAACATTTTTTTCGGGGGGAAAGGGGGGGGGTAAGTAATATTTGATGGCCTCATGGATGATTGATATGTTTGTTCAAATGAGTTCCCTCGTTAAATAAAGTCTTTATTATTTCTGTTGTTGTTGTTCTTGAATGTCTACTTCTATTATCAATGGTTATCAAAATAAACATCACAGCGTTCTGCTTATTATCATGATAATACCCCGTGTATAGTAGTTCTTAAGGTTAACCTTTGAAAGGTTCCCCGGTGCACATTATGATCCCCACCCCACACCATCATGCAATATTATTTACATGTGTAACAAAAACGCATTTCTAAATACATTATAATATAATATCTCTGCAAGCAAATTTTGTTCTCCGCGAAAAACATAGGTTTTATAGTCATGCCGTCGCAATTCTCGACGAGTAAAGAACAGTTTTTAGCCTATGGGGTTGACCCGGGAAATGTTTTCGGGGAAATTTTTTTAAAACAAATTGAAACAAAAATATTAAGGCTTTTCAGGAAAAAAAAAACTAGTAAAATTTGAAACAATTAAAAGCCCCTTTTTTTCCTTCTTTTTAAATTTAAAAAACCCTTCTATAAGATGTTAATTGACCCGAAAATTGTCAAGATAAGATGAACTTATTTTAATATTATCCACGGCCATAAATACCAAATTCAAATACCTCTGATAATAAAAAAACAAAAACTCATAAGAAATCCTCTCTATACGATTTTGTTTTTATATCCCCTAAGTTTACTGTAGCGAAACAAAATCAACAAAATATATAAATAATTTGTGTACAACAGACTAAGTCAATAAGCAAAATTGAACGTTAATCTGAAAAGTCATTTTTCATGATATTTTTAATTACAACATGTACGTACATTCATTTAAACTCGATTTTGATGCAATCTTAACGCCAGGCCAATAACCTTTGACTATTATCGTTATTTTATAAAATAGGCATGAATCTTAAAAGGAAATCCAACTTCATCATATAAAAACATTTTTATAAATAATCATTCTATTTAAAATACATAAAAAGTAGGTTTAAAAGTGATTACCACGTGCACGTGAAAATGATGGCAAATAATTTTTCATTATATGAGTATGTAAAAGAAACAAAATAATGATATAAAAACATATTTACCTGAATACACAATTCCTTTATTTCTGATATTCTGAGCAGGTATATGTTGCGAAATATATATTCCAACACTTTGAATGAAAAGCGCGTGAAAACAGTACATTCTCGTGTAATTTGATGTTGTTGTTTTTTCTGATCAGCGTAACCCAAAATTCCGGGCAATCCTTTTAAAAGCATCGTCCTTGTGACGTTCCGCAATCGACGGATATTTCATTCTTTAAATATTGGACAATTCAAGAGATTAAAGGGACAAAATTATAAAATTTTAAACCAAGACAATAGGTAATGTTCAAGGAGGAAAATTTCTTTCAAAACTTCAAGAATTCAAAATATACATTTGCTTTATTTTTACTTTATTGGTTGTTTTACTATTTCTGTTGTCTAAAAAGGTTACGATACTCTTATAAATCAATGGTTAATTTTCATCTTTTCTTTTTTTTTCATTTCTATAACCAGTCGAAACCGGTTATAACGTGTGAAGGTAAGTCAGAAAGCGGATACAGTGCCGTCTTGTAAGCGGGTATAATTGGTAAAGGTGTACGAACACGCACTGCATGATGTCTGAGATAAAAAATTCTAGGTACTGGAAAATCCGGGAGAATGTATGTAATACCTGGCATTTTTTAAAGGATCATTTCCCCTGTCAGAGACAAGTGAATTTGCCAAAATTCTGCTTTCATGAAAATGGAGGTAGGACGGAAACAAGTCACCGCACCTCAAAAAAAAACCCATTTTTCAAGGAAAACCCCGGGCTTTTAGGGCCTTACCTTAAAAAATTATTATGAAAAATAGCACATACATTCAAAAGAATTCTGACCTGCCAGGATATACATTGTTGATGTTACTGATTATAATAACATTATTATAACATCAGCATACTTAGCAATATCAAATACATGTATTCCGAATTATCACGTTTTCCATGGATGTAAAATATTAAAAAAACTTATCATAATCCGTGAAAATAAGCAACTGTTTGCATAATTTTCTAATCATAACATTTTTCAAGAAATTTTAATCAATTAAAACTTATTTACAAAAAACCCAATCATTTCTATTGTCATTATCACCGCTAAATTATTGTAATTATGCCCACATCCCGTAGAAATTTGCGGAACCTCACAATGCCGAGCTAATGAAGGGGTTTCCTCTTGTCGCCAAAAAAAGTCATTTGCAAAGCAGTAGATTTTAGCGGGGATTTTACCTTCTCATAAAGAGCCCTCGCAGGGCGCGGCCTTTACCAGTTTGAAAATCAAAGTCCAAGATAGTAGGACAGTGATAACCTTTCATTGATAAGTCTGTCATAAGTCTGTCAAAGAACCAGTTACATGTATCTTGTATAAAGTAGGCCGGGTTGCAGAAGTAAGTCATCCAGCTTTAACATGTCATTCAGTATTATTACCCCTCACTTTTTTCGTAATGCTAATTTCCCATAGGCCTCTGGGAGTTATTTTTACTGTTAATGCAAGTGTACCACGTGACTAAAAATTTTGTACTGTTACATAGGTAACAGTATTTTTAAGCGGTCACGTGGTCTATTTCCTAAATAAAATGAAATAAAATGGCCGCCATTTTTTTCTCGATTCATTCTTATTTTCAACGTTAAACCCCGATAGGACATCAATTTCTCCTCTGGAGTCCCTATGACACTCGTCAAATTTAGTTGTTTGTACCCTGGTGTGCTTTTCGCGTATAAAATATCTTTTTGCTCAATAGTCAAAATGTGAACATCCGTTTTCAACGGAAGTGATTGCAATGTAAATAATTATGTGTCAAACTGAAAAATGCAGAATATTTAAGCATGCAACAAAGGATTATTTAACAAATTTAATCAGTGAAACGTTACAGATATGGTGGACATAGGATATCATCGTTATTTTGTCAAAAACCATGCGAAGAATATTCTGGAAACAGAAGGATCAGATTTCACAGATCATAACCGTGTAAATGGGTTAGTGTTTTGTTTCCTAAATAAAACCTAGCTTATTGTATGTTTATGATTTGTAGATATCATCACTTGCTTAAAGAATAAAAGAAAAAGAAAACTTCTCAAAAAGGCCTACAGTAAAGTACACTTAAAACTTAAAAGGTAAGGACAGTTTAGTTATTGTTACTCTTGGTTTATTTTTGTTACAGTTAGATTTAGTTGACAATTTCAGATCATCTCAGTATTTTTGTTCGGGGTAATAAAATAAATAACACATGGGTTTGTGAGTAACAGTAAAAATATCATCCCTCGTAAAAATACTGTTACCCTCGGCTACGCCTCGGGTAACCAGGGCTCTAGTCCAATATATTAGACGTTACAGGCTTGTTATAGTTTTTGTTGGTCAAGCCTGACGTCTAATAGTTATTGCTCAAAAACGCATAGCATCATAAAAAATTAAAAAAATGTCTATTGTCTTGCCTTTCAAGCTTTATTCAAAAGCTTATCATATTTTCTTTCAATTTCATGCTCAATCATACACAAAAACTTTCAAACGATGTACATATCAGTTTAAAATAAAATATAAACATCAATCTATTTTTGTCTATCGGCCATACTGGTTAAGCAAGGTGCTTTACAGATTGATTCCAAATTTTTGAACGGAAAAATATATTCGAACACACTGACGGTGCATGGGCAATTATTTCGTTAAAAAAATATTCCGTTAGATTGTTCTGACTCATTTAAACGCTTGCATTTGAATTAGCCAATCAGATTTCGCGCACTTAACGGCCGCCATTTGTTTATCGGCTGTAAAAGGAATTGAAATACATGAGAGGATTTAATAATGATTTTTCGGATGTGACAGTTTAATTATTTTGACAAAAGGTATTTATTTTTTAGTTTTGTTCATAAATAGGTCAAAAATTATGTAAATACACGCTGTCTTCATTGTTTTTCGTTCCGCCCGATTTTCTGGCGGAACATGCTATGGGTTTTTGAGCAATTTCGATATGACGTTGCTTTGCCCAGAAGCAAAAATATCTCAAAGCGACGTCATATTTATAGGACTACCAGGGCTCCAGATAATTTTTTAGGGCAATGAGTATTTACTCATTGATTATTTTGTGAATGTGTAAACTTGAAATCTGAAATTTGACAGGAGTATTTTTACTCCTTAAAATGTATGTAAAAGAGTAAAAGATTTATTATGCTTCCATGTTTATTGTATTATTATACGTGTAATACAAGATATGTCAAAGTCATTTCTTTTGCTTTTTGGACTCTCTTGGTTTATAATCTTGCATTTCCAAACGGCATACGTTTTATCTGAACCTGAGGCATGTTTCTGTTGCTCATACGTGGCAGCGCTAATTATTTCATTAATTATAACCGTCACAATTACTTTTGGGTCGATTTTTTTTCGGCTGAAAATACGAGTCAATCGTTTTAACTTTTGACAGCGACATTGTACCGGTTAATTCCACCACCTTACTATACATACGCTAACAACCGATGATAGTCGGAACTACAGGAAGTCACCGTTAGACGTTGCAAAGCATTCATACGAAGTTAATTCCACCACCATACTATGCATACGATAACAACCGATGATGGTCGGAAATACAGGAAGTTACCGGTAGACGCTTGCAAAGCGTTCGGACGAAATTGAAAATAAAATAATCACCGAGTTTACTTTCGGTTACGTTTACGCGAAAGAAATGTTGCTCAATGCGTAACCTGAATTTTGTGTGCGTTTTCATACCCTTAAATTTTGTTTTGAATGCGTAAACGGGTTATTTCCATGCGTAATTTACGCGTATACGCATCTTATCTGGAGCCCTGGGTAACAGTATTTTCCTCGGGATGATATTTTTACTGTTACCCACAAACCCATGTGTTATTTATATAAAAATATCAGACATCTGCCAAAACTTTTACTATAATTATAGTTAAAATTTTGAGCCATGTCACGACAAAACCAACATATAATGGGTTTCCGACCAGCATGGAACCAGACCAGCCGGCGCATCAATGCAGTCTGATCAGGATCAACGCTGTTCGCTATCAGTTTCTCTACTTGTTATAGGGTTTGTAAGCAAACAGCATGGATCCTGATCAGACTGCACGGATGCGCAGGCTGCTCTGGATCCATGCTGGTCGCAAACCCATTATGTTGGTTTTGTCGTGACACGGCTCAAATTATGATTAATAAGTATCCTGTTTGAAAGAATATCGGGTATCCTGCTAAATTTAATATGTAAGCTTGCAGGAATTTCGAGTATCCTGCTAAATATGTTAGCCTGTAAGACTAACAAGTATCTTGCTAAACATGTCAGCCTTACAGGTCAAATAACAAGTATCCAGCTAAAAATATTAGACTGCAAGGGTATCAAGTAATCTGCTTAACATGTTAACCTGAAGAAATGACAGGAATCTTGCTAAACATGTTCACCTGTGAACAATAGAGGTGAAATACAAGGTATCTTGCTAAACATGTTAGTCTGTAAAACTAACAGATATCTGTTCAAGTTACCCAGTAAAAATACGATATAGCATGCAAAGTATGGAAGTTGGAAGAAATGCCAGATATCCTGCTAAACAATTAAGTCTGTAAAAATAAAACCAGCAATGCTGCTAAACGTTGCCTGTACAAACACTAGGTATCCTGCTAAAAATGTTTGCCTGTACAAACTAAAGAGGTTCACCTGGATATATACTAGGAATCCCTCTTAACATGTTTGCCTGTACAAACACTATGTATCTGCCTGTACAAACACTCTAGGTATCATGTTTAACACGTTTGCCTGTACAAACATTAGGTATATGATGTATCTTGCTAAACATGTTCACAGTTAAGCTTTGGTAATACTCGGGTATCTTGTTACACATGATAGTCAAACCGCAAATCATGTCACGTGCGACAGTCTAAAAATAGTAGGCCTAATTAATATCATTCTTAATTTGGTTTGCCTCTATGTATTAATTAATACTAGAACGTGCCACTAGAAATTCTTCTAAACAAGTACTGTATTGTATATAGTATACATATATCACTGAATATCGACCGTATTTTTCGGTGTTTAAAATCAAGTTAAATTAGTTCTTTTACTGTTTAAATCACTCTAGAAAACCATGGACGGACGGATGGATGGAAGATGAGCAGACAGCTAGTGTTATATGCAGTATAAAAATATCTGTACTTTGTATCTATAAAAGATTTTTATCAACTTACCACAACAAGCGTGCAGCACAACACAATCCAATGTTTACGAAAATCGTGTAATGTGTTTTGAATATGCATATGTGTATTGGTCTCCATGAAATAACGGTTTTAAGATAAACTCGGTACTGGTCACAAACGCGTCATTTTAAAGGCATTTCGGACCACAGACATTTCGGATCGAACAGTCGTGAATGATTCAGAGACTTTTAGGGGCCATTAAATATAAAGCTCAACGTGGCTGCTGAAATCTTTATGAATTATATTTTCCCTGGAAGAAAGTAACTGCAAAGTGCTATATTATAAGGTAATGATCAATATGTGGCCAAATTTAAGTAGATATATAGGATAGAATAACATCGATCTATACTGGTCAGGTGGTTGGAGTGATACTCCGATGCATAGATAACCCCAACACTTGATAAATATAATTGTTATAACTTTGATTTTCAACAAACAAGCATATGGTCACCTAGTAGTATAGGAGCAGCACAGAATGTGATGATTTTTTGTACTAAGTTGGTTTTGTTTATTTGTTTGTTTGTTTCATTTTACGTCTTTTCCAAACAGTATTTCAGTCATATAGGCGGGTAGTTTCCTTACCATCGTTCCTGGAGAGTTACACCAGTACTAGCTTAGCTTCATCCGCGCTAAACTACCAAAGCATCTCGTGGGGATCGAACCCACGCCAGAGAGGTATATAACTGGATTAGAAGTCATCGACGCTGACCCCTCGACGTTCTTAATAAACGTTCTTTAATAAGGTAGTTAGAATTGTATTGACCACATGCCACGTACTGACTTTGGAAAGATTTTTGAAAAATTGTTTTTAGATCTATATCAACAAAAACTGGATGAAACATATATAAGACGTAAAAAATATTGATGCTGATTTTCTCATCATTTTTACTTAAATATTTAAGCATGGATTTTATCTACTGTTGTGGGGTAAGAAGACTATGTTTTGTATAGTTCTAGCTTCCAAAACTTTATAAGCCGCTATTTAACATTTTTGTTTTTCATCTGGTGCGTCATGTCATAGTATATAAATGGGTACGCTGAAGACCTTATAAGCTATGTTTTGTATACCTCATTCAGGACCTTAAAGAAGAACCACTTTCCATTTTCATTCATACTGTACCTTTTGTAGTGTAATGTACACCGTAGGGAACGTGTTACAGTATCGCGTTTTTCGGTTACAGTATAGAATTTTCAAGATGGAGGATTAATTATGGGAAGAGAGGTAGGTGATTTTTATTCAGGTCTAGATACTATACTAGTAGTTCAGTTTCTAAAAGATGTTTTTGTGCTTTGCTTGTAAGGAACATAATCCGGTATCTAGTCATATATTTCTTCAGACCCTGCACCGCAGATTTATCTCTATATTGTCTCATAAATGTGCAGATTTAACGGTTTAAAATTTTGAATCGAGAGACAAACGCATTTTTCTCCCATTCCGACATTATTTAAGCATGCATAGATAAAGTAAATCTACAAAACGTTAGTTACAGTATAGAGCGAGGTTAATTTTGAAGGGTTACAGCATAGACCTAGCGACTTTCATCCAATTTTGTTACAGTTTATACCCAGATTTCTGTTACAGTTTAGATACTTGCCAAATTTCAAACAAAGTTCGTGTATCCATTATTTTTATGAAAGAACTCATACCTTTCTATTTAATACAGTTTTGAAAGGTTGTATTACTTTTTTTCTTCAGCAGAAAAGTTATAGTTTGCTATTTTTCTTACTTGAGACTTTTTGCAGAATAAGTAATGTCCAAAGTAAGAACTGTTTTCACGAAAACAACAGCAACTTTTATCGAATTGTATTGAGAGAAATAAGATTATTGCTTGATATCATTACACATTATAATAATGCCTATTAGTAAAATAATCCTTAACAGAAGTCCAACACGGAAAACATGAAAATGTTGCAGGCTCAGTTTGACTAAACCTGTTCATGGACGGTAGTGGTAACAGTAAGCTACCGTCCACGCCTCTTAGCACCGGCTTCAGCAGAATTCACATTAAACATGAACTGGCACACTTCAGATTTTTTTAACATCTGTGGACATGTGTTCATATGGCGGTTATCATGGAACCTTGAATGTGACACGTTATTGCCATTCTGTGAAAAGCGGCATATTACCCACAGGTTAAAATTTGCGTGTGCCCTTAGAAACGAGAATACAATGAGTGAAACTAAACAAAATGAAATTTTGAGAGTGGATCGGATGTCATGAAGCCTGCATACCATAGATAAGCTGTCAAAAGACACAATTAACAGGCAGGCAATACCCTAAGAATTATTAAACAGTATTTAAGTGAGCAATACTGCAACCTTAAATTTTATTTTAAGTTGGAATTTTCCATCTACCATAATGTATTTTGTAAGTATTTAAAGGGGTTTATAATTATTTTCAATTTTGTTGTGTTGGAATTTCTTAAGGGATTCTGTTTAACTCTATATTGTTACGTTTGGCTTTCTTGGATTTTAAGTTTCAACGACACTGAAGTCATGTGAAAACATTTTTGCTTTAGTGTAAAGAAAGACCCCAGATACCCTTTGTGAAACATTAAAGACACGAGCGGGCACCTGACTAGAACCACCGACTTTCCGTAAATTAGCTTGATAGATTCCTCACATACAAAGAATCCAAAGTCATGATTGGATTTCAACTACAGCAGTAAATGAAATATGATTTGAAGTCGACGGTCATATCCCGACTCTGCCACTATTATGTACCTCCATCAGGTTCACTAGAGAAAATATTGTAATTGTCTGACCTTAATTTATACTCTTTAACTTTCAATATTATTTTCTTTTTCAGAAAATTGACAACTGCTATACAGGATGTCTGAAATAAAGAAAAACGACTTTTAATTTAATAATGACAAAATAATCGTAACTTCAACAAAGAAGCATTCGAAATGACGCCATAATCATGATTTGATTTGAATGCATTTGGTTCGAGATGAGAAGGGTCTTTAAACATTGCCTTTTTTCAAAATCTATGTTTTGGGTTTTCGTATCCCCGATTGCAACCGAAACCATTGCACAACTTAATTGGTAGAAAGTCATGTAAATTTCATCACATTTAGTCAAGTAGTTACTGAGCGGATGAGATTGCACACACATATGTACGACAGACGGACGAATTGCCATCGGGCCAATAAGCTCACAGAGATTTAAGTCTATGTAACATTCATACATTTTACCTAGTATATATAGAAAATATCGAAGTCTAAACTGTAACCGAAATCTGGGTATAAACTGTAACAAAATCGGATACAAGTCGCTAGGTCTATGCTGTAACCCTGCACAAATTACCTCGCTCTATACTGTAACATTGTTTATTTTTTCAAACGCATTTAACGAACAGGAAAATAGGTTCAACTGGTCATTTACTTTTATAAACGTTTCCTAACATAAAGGACTAACATTTTGCAGATTTACTTTTTCTAGGCATGCATAAATAATGTCGAAATTGCAGAAAAATGCCTTGGTCTCCCGATTCAAATTTTCAAACTGTCAAATCTGCATATTTATGAGACAATATAGCGATAAATCTGCGGTGCAGGGTCTGAAGACATATATGACCAGATACCGGATTATGTTCCTTACAAGCAAAGCACAAAAACATCTTTTAGAAACTAATCTACTTGTAGTATGGACAGGAATAAAAAATCACCTGCCTGTCCTCCCAACAAATAATCCTCCATCTTGAAAATTCTATACTGTAACCGAAAAACGCGATACTGAGTCTTGAAATGAACTTAATTTCTAAAGGTGGTTATTGACATTAATTCATCGCCAAAAGCGATCAGTTATAGAATTTATAAAACATGTATTTCTGACGATGCTATTTGTCACTGAGTATGCCTCATGCATATAAACGCGCATTAGCAAATTTTAGATTCAGTGGCCATGACTTGAAAATTGAAACAGGAAGGCACTTAAATATTGACAGAGAATTTAGATTTTGTTCATTTTGTCTTAAACGTAATGTGTATGTTGTTGAAAATGAAGTGCATTTTTTTGATTGACTGTCAGCTGTACAACAAACTTAGAAACAAACACTTCAACTTTTGTAATTGGAATGTGAAATATTGTAAACAGTAATGAACGCTTTAATACTATAATGTCAGAAACAACGAAAGACAATATCAAAAAATTAGCAAAATTTATCCATGAAGCAAATAATTTAAGAAAACTTCAAATAACTGAACAAATTTAAACATGTGTAGTGTAATGTTTATAATTTATATTTATGTGCCATGTATTTCAGTTACTCCATTTGTTGAAACGAACGTTTCTTTATACATGTAACCATACCTCTAGTTATGTTTAAATAATATACTTAAATTAATAGTTACCTCTTCAACACTGATATTAATCATATTGACATTTGTACATTATATGTTTAATTAATATAACCTTTATTTCAACTTAGATATTCAATATTACTATTAAACTACTTACTTGTAAATATACTAGCTCTTATGTTTATTATATATATTAATATCTCACTCTTTGTTAAATTGAAAATCTGATTGTATTTTGGGCTGAATGCCTTATATTACGAATAAACACATTGTCATTTTTGTTTTTGTTGTTAAATATCTTTAAAATATACAGAAAGTTAATTAATGTAATGCAAAAAATATGTGATTTAGTGTCGGAGTTATCTTCCCGACCAGTACAGTATGTTTCCAATCAAATTGACTAAATCCATTGAATTATACCAATCGCAACTACTCGGCCCTTTCCGTAAGTCTTCGGATAAGGACCGAGGCATGCAGTTCCGAATGTGAATTATACGACCTAGTCTGGAGTTCCTTCCCCTTTCGCTACGCAAAGCTAATACTTGTTAGATGCCGGGAACCAGAATAGGTCTCAACCCGGTACGGAATTACTACCAGAAAGTAGTTCCTTAAAATTTTGAAGTGGCCCAATTTAAGTCATCTCTAGTTAGATTGGTCATAATTAAAGTGTATAAATTTATTGCATGTGTGTAGTTTTTGTGTGTTATATGATGACTTTAAAAGTTTTTTTTGTGTGTATTCTCCAAGAACTCATTTGTTGGTGGAAGGATTAAAGATGTACTACCCCAAACTCTAGACTGGTCCCCTGCGCACTTCTAAAAAGTTGGATGGGAACCAAAATAGGGCAGGGAACCAGATTACCCCAAACTCCAATCGCAACTACTCGGTCCTTTCCGTCAGTCTTCGGATAAGGACCTCGAACACAATAGTATGAATACACTCTGCCAGCCCGCATAGCTCAATCGGTTAGAGCGCGAGACTTGTAATCTCGACATTGTGGGTTCGATTCCCGGGCTGGCCAACTAAAATTACTAATCAGTCTTTCGGATGAGACTTTAAATCGAGGTCCCGTGTATGGGTGCTTAAACACTTGGCACGCTAAAGAACCAGGAGAAGCTTCTGGAATTGGGGCATCTTTCTGTATCTGTAATTGCACTATTCAAAAAAATAAAATGACTAATACTCTTCTGGAGGACTCGCCCATATGGGCAACCGGTGGCGAGTATAAATAAACGCAAATACACACACACAATGAATACACAGAACGGACGCGGTATTTCGGTCTAACCTACGCTAAGAAACTAAACATGTAAACAAATAGTAATTTTATGCTGGGAGTTGTTTACAAGTTTATTTCCAATACATGTTGTAAAAGTCCACCTAAAATAAGTGAATGCATAGGTACAAATGCAAACAATACATTATACGGCACAGACATTAGATGTCAAATATATACATTTGTTTTACATTATCTCTGTTTCTGTTTACATCTGGAACCACGTGGTAGACCTACTTTTAATCCGTATTGTTTCCGAAGTTAATATTATAGATAATAGCCGAGGCAGTTCCGAATCAATCTCCACACAGTGATCTCCCCTTAATTCTTCCGAATGCCCAAACTCCACAGTTATTACCTCCCTTGGCAGAATTGTCAAACTCCTCACAGTGATTACCTCTCTTTACAGATTATACTGATAAGGGGAGATCACTGCGTAGAAGATTGCAGAATTGTCTACGCTGAAGAATTAAGGGGAGATCACTGTGTGGAGATTGGTACTACCCACCAGCAGTCAGGAGTTTTTTAAAGTGGTGAATTAAAACAGTGTTACAACAGAATGAAGATTTCTGAAAAAAGTAGATGGCTAACCTATTATATTTTGGGTCTCATATTGGACTTAGATAGTGTTAATGTTTAAGACAGTATATAATTCATCAAGAACAGTGGAATCCAGAATTAAGCCCCAAATATGACTGAAAAGAACAAATAAACAAAAAATTACGGGGCCCCCTTGAATAAGGGCCCTTGGTTTTCCGATTTCATTTAAAATTTTTAATATGGTTTCACAAAAAAAGAAACATTTTCTTGGCAAATAAATCCAAAAAACAAAAGGGGAAATAGAAACAATTAAATTAAAGGGTCGTTAAATTACTCATCTTTGTGAAAGTGAAAAGCGCAAGAATTTTTCACATTTTAAAAGGCATTTGAAAGGGGTTTACTTTCCTTTTGTTAAAAACAAGTTTAACCATTTCACTTTTTCGTCAAAACTCAATATCGCGTTATTTAAATTCACTGTAAATTGCACGTCCGCTATTTTTCGTTTTCACAAATAATTTATAAAAAAACAAATATCCCTCATTTCAAAACCCCGGTTTGTTTTTAAAATTTTTTGGGGAAATAGTGAAATTTCAGGGAACTTTTAAAAATTTCTAAATAAAAAAATAATAAAAAATAACCCCCCTATATTTTGGGAATATTCATTAAAAATATTTGAATTTCAAGTTCCTTTTGCCCTTCCAAAAGCTTTCCCACCTTTTCTTTACCCAATTTAAGACCCAAAAAACGGGTTTCCAATTTTAAGGTCCACGAAAACTGATTTTAGTAATTTGGGAAAAACGGGGAACAACCCACAATTAAAAAGGGGAAGATTCAGTCTTTGGGGGCCCTTCTAGCCGATGGCTATGGCGGAACCCCTACAAACCCTTCTATTTCAGTCGGCCATTTCCCAGCCACAAATGATAATTTGTTTTCCCTGCCTAAAAAACCACCAAATTAATTCCCTTTTAAAAATAACTCAAAGAAGGACCTTTTTTAAAAATTTTTGAATTTTTTTACTTTTTTTAAAAAAACGAAAATTTTTTACCTTTGTATAAATTTATTTCTTTCATAATGCCCTATTTTAAAATATTGGTTTTTTTAAAAACAAATTTTTTAACAAGTAATTTTAAACCAGGTGCTTTTTTTAAAATGAAAATAATCTTTAAAAATCGGTAAGGAATATTGGTTTTTTGTTTGATTCCTGTTAAATTCAAATATTAATTGGAAAACATTTGTGTGTTTATTTATTTTTAATGTTGTTTTAATTTTATTTGAAAATCTTTTACACTAAGTTCGCTTATAACACATAACGGTCTGATAGATATGGAAAGCGATGTGCCACGAATTCCGCCAAAAATTAAATATGCAAACATTGCGAAAGTTGAAAGTGGATACCATTTTTGGGAAGTTATGTAACACTTGTATGATAATAGGGATAAATTATAAAATTATTCTTTAAATTTGTGCATTAATCGAGCTATTGTATTTTTGTAATGAGATTACAATAATAATGTAAAAACAATGATAATATTTCATAGTTTGTAATTTGTTTGTTAATAACTTATTTGTTTGATTATAGTTTGTAATTTGTTTGTTAATAACTTATTTGTTTGATTACTCATTTCTGACTGTGTGATAATCATTCATAGATACAGGTAAACTATTGCCATTTAAGATCGTTTTGATATAATATGTCTTTTAAGAGATACAAGTAATATTAGTGTAATAATTTTGTTCATTTATTTTTTTATTATATTATTTTATTATAATTATTAAGCCATAAATATTTTCTCTGTATATTTCATAGAAATCAAATGAAAATATATCAGTATGGTATACATATATATAATTATATATAATTATATATATATATTATATATGTGGTACGTAACCTATAAAAATGGTACGTAATTCCTGGTACGTTACTTCCAGTAAACTTTGAGACTTTTATCATTTACATTGGATAATTTAGCATTGTTGCTCACATGTTGGTGTCTCTATTGTAAAAACATCTACCCATCACGCCATGCACTCTCTGGGAACAGTTGAGAGTTATAAAGGTTTCAAACACATACATGTGAGTACAAAATGTAATTAAGACAAACACTATGTTGGGACCGTCTTGCACAATATATCATCTGAGCAAGTGCTGTGAGTTTAACAGAATTCCCACAATTCATATACCACATTGACCTTATAGAGTGTCAGGTGAATGGATGGTAAAACTCGGCAGTCTTTTCATTCCGCATAGCGTTGATTTTTTTAATCCAGGAGACTGGCCTTGCAATATTTCCCCGCAACAATCTTGACATCGAATCTAATGGTCATCTATCTCTCACAACTGATTAAGAAATCCTGTAGGTTAAGTATATAGACGTTCATGCCTCATGGAGAGAGAAATTGGTAAATACTGGTTAGTTAGCCATTGAAGCCCATAAGGCTTTTGATTAGGTCGATCAAAATGAATGACCAAAAAAACCAAGCTTGTCTTGATATAGCCTGACACACAAAGCAGGATAATAGGCGTAGATTTTGTCATCTGATTGTCTCTCTGAGCTTTCAACAGGACTAAATTCTTCTGCCTTCTACTTGGTTTTGTACAATCCAATAATCAATTTCTGATTATGACTGGGGGGTTATATTTAGGTTTCATTGTAAATTTTCTGATTATGAATGGGGGATTGTATTCAGGTTTCATTGTAAAATTTCTGATTATGACTGGGGGATTATATTCAGGTTTCATTGTAAAATTTCTGATTATCTGATTATGACTGGGGGATTATATTCAGGTTTCATTGTAAAATTTCTGATTATGACTGGGGGATTATATTCAGGTTTCATTGTAAATTTTCTGATTATGACTGGGGGATTATTTAATTATATTCAGGTTTCATTGTAAATTTTCTGATTATGACTCGGGGATTATATTCAGGTTTCATTGTAAATTTTCTGATTATGACTGGGGGATTATATTCAGGTTTCATTGTAAAATTTCTGAATATGACTGGGGGATTATATTCAGGTTTCCTTGTAAATTTTCTGATTATGACTGGGGGATTATATTCAGGTTTCCTTGTAAATTTTCTGATTATGACTGGCGGATTATATTCAGGTTTCATAGTAAAATTTCTGATTATGACTTGGGGATATATATTCTTTGTAAGAGTAATTAGATATAATATAAATGTCAACCTTATTTATAGCTTAGATTAGATGCAGCGGAGTTAAAGAAGTTACTGGAGTCAGCCGAAAGACAAAAAGTGAAAGATATTCTAACTGTAGAACTTCGGAAGCTAGAGACAGAGATTTCTCTCAAACAAGATGCAGTAAAATCAAATTCTGATCCTGAGACTACAGGGCAGTCTTTGAAATCATCTACCACTCAAACACGAGTACCTACAGTCGATGTAAAAAATTATGGTATGACTGTTATAATTACCTTAAAGATGTATTGGAACTATCTCATCTCTGAGTATTATTATCACAAAAATTTATTGAAATCAATAACTTTCTTACTAAATATCTCTAATTTGAATAAAGCAGAGTACAAACTCTGTGTGGGAAGCTGCATTTCCTATTAACAGGTCAAGAAAGGTTGACCCTCTCTTATTACAAAACTGCCAGAGAGTTCTTTATTTTTAAGTTTTATATTTAAAACTGATATTTTGTTGAATCATCCAGCCTGTTTTCTTTGACATAATTACATAATTGGTAACTGCCAGCTAGCTGAAACTTATATGGGACGCGCCATGACAAAACCAACATAGTGCGTTTGCGGCCAGCATGGATCCAGACCAGTCTGTGCATCCGGCAAGTCTGATCAGGATCCATGCTGTTCGCTTACCAACCCTATTACAATTAGAAAAACTGATAGGGAATAACATGGATCCTGATCAGACAGCATGGATGCTCAGGCTGGTCTTGATCCATGCTGGTCGCTCACTACATGTATGTTGGTTTTGTCATGGCGCTGCTTATATTTGAAATGTTCATTTGTCACTGAATTATCCCACTTTATTTTCTTGTTTAATTTGTGCTGCTATGCTTTATCGACATTGTTGTTTTACTATAAAGATTGAGAAAAGTTGAGGGTGTCACTGTTGTTTATCAGGAAGTGCTTGTATATGTTAGGGGCCAAAGGGGTGTGGTCAGTAGGAAAATGCCTTGGCATTAAAGATATAAAGTGCCCAAAAAAATCTTTATTATACTATTTTGAATATATGTATAACAATATTTAGCAGTCATATATATTTCAACATATAAGGCATTGTTCAATTGATATGGGTCTTTATAAAAAAATAATTTAATATTTATTATATTTTGTTTTTTTTAGCTTGGGACCAATCAGAGAAGTTTATGAAGATATATGCCACAGTACCAGGAGTTGAATCTGTGCCAAAGGAACAGGTTACATGTAATTTCAGTAGCAGGTATTCTTTTATATTTATCCTGAAACACATATGAATTTCTAAAGCATAATGAGCCTTTAAATACAATGCCACAAGTACAATAGAGGTAGGCTAGCTGGCACATAAAATGCCTAGACTATATAATTTGTTGTAAGCTATACTATAATTTGATATTGTAATTCTGTATTCCCTTGAACTACCAATGCCTTGTTGGAGTTTGAACGTGGGGAAAGTCTGTTTCACAAATTTTGCTGAGTTAGGGTTTATCGTTTTGGTATGTTTGTAAATATCATATTATAAGTTAACTATAATACACTACACTTCAGATCATTCAGTCTTCGATGTAACAGTGTGAATCAGAAAAACTACACATGTGAGGTGACCACATTGATGGAAGAAATACTACCCAATGACAGTTATATCAAGGTAAATATACTTAAGTATCTGAGCAGCAGAAGTGTTGTTTTTTAGTGTTTACTTATATTATGTCCCTTTTACAACAACATCAGAGTAGACATTTTTAGTGAACAATTTATTAATGCAGATTTTATGAACATGATGATATGAAAATGAAATATCTTGTTGTAAGTTTTCCACGAAAAGTAGCTAAATACCTTGTTAATGCTTATCTTAAAAGAAAGAAACCCTTGTTAAATCGTTGAAATATTTATCCTGTAATATTGATGATGTGTACAGTATAATAATTTCATGTGATATATTTATAATGTATATATGTTTCAGGTGACTTATTGGTCCATTGGGCCGGGTGTTATGTTAAATTATTTAATTTTGTTATTTGTAAACTGTCATACACATGTCACTATAATAAAATATTTACTTACTTACTTATATTCCATTTAATATTCCAAAATGTCTATGAAATATAGCATGATAATATGCTGTACCTTCACGGTGTCACTAGTTTTTTCATTTTTCTTTTTTCAAAAATGTTCACTACCTTGCAATTTTATGTTGTGAGTGTAGTAATCAGTGTAATGTTCAGTTAATCTGTGTGTCAGTTAATGTGTGTAATGTTCAGATACTGTTGGTGTCAATTAATCGGTATAATGTTTATCTGTATGTCAGTTAATCAGTGTAATGTTCAATTATTCAGTGTGATGTTTAGTTACTCTGTGTAATGTTTATATGTTTGCCAGTTAATCAGTGTAAAGTTCAATTATTCAGTGTAATGTTTAGTTACTCTGTGTAATGTTTATATGTTTGCCAGTTAATCAGTGTAAAGTTCAATTATTCAGTGTAATGTTTAGTTACTCTGTGTAATGTTTATATGTTTGCCAGTTAATCAGTGTAAAGTTCAATTATTCAGTGTAATGTTTAGTTACTCTGTGTAATGTTTATATGTTTGCCAGTTAATCAGTGTAAAGTTCAATTATTCAGTGTAATGTTTAGTTAATCTGTGTAATGTTTATATGTTTGCCAGTTAATCAGTGTAATGTTCAATTATTCAGTGTAATGTTTAGTTAATCTGTGTAATGTTCATATGTTTGCCAGTTAATCAGTGTAATGTTCAGTGAATGGGTGTGTCAGTTAATCAAAGTGTAACTTTCAGTGTACCGATGTGTAAGTTAATCAGTGTTATGTTCAGTTACATTTAATTTGTGTGTCAATTATTCAGTGTAATGTTCAGCTAATCTGTGTGTCAATTAACTAATTTAATGTTCACTTATTAGCATAATGTTCAGTTAATTGGTTTCAGTTAGAATAATGAATTAGCATAATGTATGCAATGAATTAGCATAATGATCAGCTATTGATTAATTTGATGTTTAGTTAATTAGTGAATAATTTAGTCGTGTAATGTGGTGAGAATTGGTTTAATGTTCAGATAATTTATGTTCAATTATTAGTGTAATGTTCAAATTATTAGTGTTCAATTAAAGTCCCTTATGTTTTTGTTTGTATTTTTAATGTATGTATATAAGAAAAATATTATTTAAATTTGCAAATAAAAAATTTTCAAAATCCAAAAAATTGTAAAAGTTTTTGTCAAATATTTTTGGTTATATTTAAAAAAAAGTTAATGCATTTATTTTTTATTGGAAAAATTTGATTGGAATTAAAGAAAAAAATTCATTACCCCTTTTATTAGAAAAAAAGGGAATTTCTTTAAAATTGATTTAATTAAAAAGGAAAAATTAATTTACATAATTTTTTTAAAAAAAAATGAAAAAAATGTTTCAATTTTTAATTGTGTTATGTTAGTTAAAAGCTAATGTTCATTTTAAAAAGGTGTTGTGAGTGAAGAAGCGTTTTTTGTTCTTTTAATTGGGGTTTAAAATTTATATTAAATTTTTGAAAAAGTTTTTTGAAAAAAACGAATTTAAAAAATGGTTGTTAGGAAAAATGAAAGAACTAAGTGCATTAAATTTGGTTTTGTGAAATTATGGTTAATGTCATTTAAGGTTAATTTAAGGAAGAAAGGAATTTTTAAAAATTTTTTGTAAATGTTTTAATGAAGAAGGTAATTTTCTGAAATTTTGGTAAGTGAAAAAGCTAATGTTCATTTTTGGGTGTAATTTAAATAAGGCGTTAATGTTTCATTAAAAATTGGTTAATTATTAAGAAAGGGGAGTTTTTCAGTTTTAGGTTCTTTTAAAAAAATTAAAGTTAGGATTGAAATTTTTAAAGGGATTTTAAAACAATCTGTCCTTAAATGTTGAAGAAGAAAAATTTTAAAAAAAATGGCCTATGTAACCCAACAGAGAAAAGAGAAAGAATTAAAACCATAAAAACCTAAGGTACATAGAAATGCAAAAATTAAAAACTTCTTAAAAATTTGATTTTGTAATTTCCCCCTCCATGAACGGGAGGGGGACTATAGTTTTCTTTTTTCCCAAAACTTTAACTCAGAGTTATGGCCCTTATTAGTTTGCAGTATCCATATAGAAAAATATTTTGTTTCCTCGCTACTTCTCTGTTACTACTGGCTGGAATTCATATATGCATATAGTCGCCTTGTTCCAGTCAGATACTTATAACTCAGATTTATGGCCCTTGATTAGTAATGTAGTATGCATACATCTCATTGGCATTTCCAGATTTTACTATTTAACACAAAGTTATGGCCCTGTTATTGCCCTGAATATTTATCAAGTTCAAAGAATATTACTGTTTATGCCATGATAATTGATTAATATATAATAAAGCCTTATGTCTTCAGTTGTTGTGTTAATAATAACCAGTACTCGGCGGGGGATATAAATTCAACGAATTTGCTTGTTGTTACCGTTTTTCGAAGGTTAAATCTCATAAAGCACAGTATCAGAGCTTTCTGTCAAATTATTAGTGGTCATTTTGTCTGCATGACGAAATAATTTAACTGTTCTCCACAAATCTACATTTTTAGCTCAACTATACTAGGTAGAGTTATTGTAATCAACCTGGCGTCGCTGTCACACTTTGGATAAGTTTTTGCTTGCAAGTTGCTATCTCCAAATCTACTGACGGAAATGGGTTGAAAATTCACACATATATTTGAAAGTACACTAGGAGGTTACTGTCCAAGGATCATAACTCTAGTATGGACTTTGACAGAATTATTGCCCTTTTTGAAAATTCTAAATTTTCCAGTCTCAGTCTGACAATAGTCAAGAAGGCAGTCCTACTGATAGCTCTTGTAATGAGATATGTTAAGAGATATGTGTACATTATTCTCTAAAGAGGCTTCAGTCTGTCTCTATGGGAATCTGGGCCACATTGGTTATACTTGTACACAATATACAAGAAAATAAAAGAAATGGGACATTAACCTTTTAATGTGATATTGACCTTCAAAGGATGGGACTTGAGTCTTTAGAGTACATGTACAATAATATAAACATACACAATATCTAAGAGTGAATGGTTGACTGTCTAGTGAAGGTGTGTGCCTCTCTATCCATGATATGAGTTGCATCACGACAAAATTAACATAATGGGTTTGCGACCAGCATGGATCCAGACCAGGCTGCGCAAGCGCGCAGTCTGATCAGGATCCATTCTGTTGGCTATCAGTTTCTGTACATGTTATAGGGTCTGTAAGCGAATGCGCAGGCTGGTCTGGATCCATGCTGGTCGCAAACCCATTATGTTGATTTTGTCATGGCGCGCCTCATATTGGGATCATGGGTTTGAGCCCTACTAGGATTTCAACCATCTTTCCTCTAATAACACTAACTAATGGTTGGTGCCAGGAAGTGGACTAGAGAGTGATTTATATAAAATACAAGCTTACTTCACAATCAAGCTTAAATGTATAATATTTAAACTAAACTACTTCCTATTCTAGTTTCTTATTCTATGTTTAAATGCAATGGAGATATTTGCTTTAAACATATTTATTTAAGCTCTATTGCGAAACAAATTCTTGCAACTTATATTAATCACTTTCGAGTCTGATTCCTAGTAACAACCAGTACTAGTGTCATATGAAGAAACATGGTTGTGACTCGATTAGGGCTCGAACCCATGACCCGTAGGCATTATTTAAAACAGAGGGTGATTTCTTTATATTTATATAGGTCAATAGACAAGGACGCCGACCCAAATGATAGTATGATGTCGTTGATGAAACAGATGTACGAAGACGGGGACGATGAAATGAAGAGAACTATTGCTAAGGCTTGGACCGAATCGAGAGAGAAGAAGCCTGATATGGCTTTATGAAAACGTGTATAAACGTGAAAACGTGTATAAACGTGAAAACGTGTATAAATGTGTATAAACGTGAAAATGTGTAAAAACTGTATATAGTATAATTGGAATACAAACTCCTGAGGTGTCCAACAAAAACTGGTTATTTTGTATATCAATACAATGAAATTATATGCACTTACCATATACAAAAAATAACTGACATTACATCTTAGTTTATCACTAACTGATTGTTTGTATAAAACTATACAAGAAGATTGATTGTATATACAAATGTTCATACAAATTTGAGCAATCAGTTTTTTTTTTATTTCGGCCCCGTGTTCACAGAGATTTCAGGATCAAGATCAGGATCACATATAAAAACTCTAATATTCTTCATTGTTTATTTTCAGATTAAATATCTTATATTATTTGATTAAATTGGAATTGCAATAGCAAAGTTTATAAAATTTTAGAATAAATTTATTGTTATTTTTGCAAGATGCTGGCATTTTAAAGTTGATCCAAATATTGATCCTGATCCTAAAATTGATCCTTATTTTGATTTGAATATTTTTGTATTTGTTTTGTTATTTGTTGATTTTATCCCAAAATATTTTGGTTTCTTTGGAAATCAGCATTTTTTTTACATTTTGAATATTTAGCATTTAATTCTAGCAAATCACGATTAATTTTAGCAATGATAAACAATGAAAATAAAATCAGGATCACTTGATCCTGATCATGATTTTGTCTTAGTGAACACGGCGCAAGTTTATTGAATTGATAACTTAAAATACCTTGGATTTTACTGCAACTTTTGAACAGTTCCAGAAATATTTTAGATTTTCAAATTTATATAAATATCGTAACTAAAAAAAAAAAATTTCATATTTATATGATATGGAGATAGTTTTTGTGAATCTTACATATTCCTATTTCATGTCATTTTATAATGTACCTTGCATTGATATCTCAAGCATATAGGATTTTGCACATTTTTCCTCAAGGAATTTCTCTTTGTCTTGTAAACAGATGTAATATTATTTTGTTTTCGAACTTTTTTACTTGATTTTGTATACATCAAATTGTTTTTTGCAATGAAGGGTGAACAAATTTATAGATTTTAGAATTATTATTTACATTATTCTTTATAGGCTCACATGCAGTGTCTTTTCTAGGATTTGAAAAACATGGGGGATTTTTATCAAAAAGTGTGAATAGATTATATTTGTTGATCTTTTGTAAAATTTTCCCCCAAAAGAAGGGAATTCTCAAAAATATGAGTGAATCCCCCACCCCCTCCTAGAATAGACACTGCACATGGCAAAAAAATGCTCTAGTGAGCTTTTAAGGATTATTTGGCTGTCTGCCTCTCTGATGCTCATTGGCTTATATTTATGGAACTGAACTTGGCAGGAATTTGCCCTACCAAGTTGTTAAAATAATGCCATTCCATGCAGAATTCTTGTTGCCATGGCAACCTGCTGCAAAACAAAAAAAAATATTTTGTCCAAAATCACAAGGCCTGATATTGTGATTATAGCATGCATAATGCTGTACTCTACACAAGTTTTTTATCCCTCGCCAAAAGGCGGCTTGGGATATAGAAATAGTCTCCGTCCGTCCTTCCGTACGACTTTTTTGTCTGCAGCATATCTCAAAAAGTATTTGAGGTATCAACTTGAAACTTCTTAGGTGGATAGATCATATTGAGGAGGAGTGTAGTGCACAAGAATAATAACTCTACCCTGCATAATTTTTCAGTTATTGCCCTTTGTTATTTTTCATACTTTTTGTCTGGAGCATATCTCAAAAAGTGTTTGAGTTATCAACTTAAAACTTCATAGGTGGATAGATCATATTGAGAAGGAGTGCAGTGCACAAGAATGATAACTCTACCCTGCATAATTTTTCAGTTATTGCCCTTTGTTATTTTTCAAACTTAATTTTTGTCTAGAGCATAACTTAAAAAGCTTATGTTATATCAACATGAAACTTCATAGGTGGATAGATCTCACTCAGCAGGTGTGCAATGCACAAGAATGAAAACACTTCCCTTCATAATTTTTGAGTTATTGTCCTTTTTTTTTTCATACTTAATTTTTCACCTGAGTGGAGCATAATTCAGGGTCTTTGAGATGTCAACATGAAACTTCATAGGTGGATAGATCTTATTGAGGAGGAATGAAGTGCACAAGAACGATAACTCTTCCCATTATAATTTTTGAGTTATTGCCCTTTGTTATTTTTCATACTTTTTGTCCGGAGCTTATCTCAAAAAGTGTTTGAGGTATAAACTTGAAACTTCATAGGTGGATTGGTCTCATTGAGGAGGAGTGCAGTGCACAAGAATGATAACTCTACCCTGCATAATTTTTTCGGTTATTGCCCTTTGTTATTTTTCATGCTTAATTTTTGTCCAGAGCATAACTATAAAAGCCTTTGAGATATCAACTTGAAACTTCATAGGTGGAAAGATCCCATTGAGGAGGAATGCAGCACACAAGAATGATAACTTACCCTGCATTATTTTTCAGTTATTGCCCTTTGTTATTTTCAGCCATCAGTATTCACATAGGCTTCAAATCTGTAATCACTTCAGCCATCAGATTTCATTACCAAAAGACCTCTTACAATTGAATTATTCTGCTCTACTACATATTATATTCTTCCAATGTGCAAACACATTCAGCGAGGGATGAACATGTTGACATGGCTCTTGTTTCAAAATTATGGCCCAACAGTCCCTCTAAGGATACATACATTTACTATTTAGAAAAAAAATGTCTTAAAAAAACATAAATCTTATTATTTTATATGTATCGTTGTATAGTGGTTCTCTACATAGTGTGTTCAAATTATGCACCTAGGGTCAAAATTGGCCATTAGGGGGTCACTTAGTTAACATAGACTTGCATAGGGAAAACTTTTTTCTTGTTTGGCTATACCTTGCGTGGTGTTTAGATATTTAGTATGTCACATTGCCTTCCCTCCCCCCCCCCCATTGTGGCCGAGGGGTTTGCCTTTGCGGGTTGATGCATCGGAATGGCAGCCACCGTTTAACCCTGCTGATCCTAAGAGGCAACTGAATAGGCTCGAATTACTGGAGTCTGTCACTCTATGCAACTGTAAACTCCAGCAGGTGAGATGGTTTTGACCCTTGGTGTTGCTTCAAGTTTATAACAATCGGCGCCATATGACTTAAACTGTGTTGGTGGGCCGTACAACCAAACAAGTACATTGGCTCTGCCCTTCGTGTCATCTAATGTGCATATACATTTACATGTACCTTAACATTGAATCAGGAAAAAACATCGAGTTTTTTGTTTGACATCAGATATTTAGTGTGTAACATTGCCTTAGCGATTGGAATAGGTAATGGCACAAAACTACCTTTATAATAGGTCTTAGAAAGTTTAATCAGGTATTCTGATAAGATCTGATATTTCCGGACGTATGCCTCTTGAGTTTGCTTATTTTTTCTGAGCGGCTTTTTTGTCGCAATTTTCCGATTGTTTTTTCCCTTCCTCTGCATGTTTGACAAATCTCACCTCCTCTTTGAAATAGATAAATATTTTACTGGCATTGTTCCTCAATTGTCCAGATTTTACTCTGCGCTCTTTCTGTCAGCCTTTCTGGTTTGTGGGACTGCCGGTCTGATATAAATCCGGTTTCCATTGAATAAATTATGAAATTACTTGGGGCCAAGGTTAGCGTAAATGCTGTATGTCGTCAAAGACAAAGAACACGTGTATAATTTGTTATTTAGATCTATATTTAAACTTAATCGACTTCAAACAGAGTAAAATTATACATAAAGAAAGATACATAAAATTTAAAAACGGTTAACAGCTAACAAGATTGTAAAAATGGAATGTATTCAGTAAAAGTAAGAATATATATTTACAAAAATAGATACATTAACAAATCTGCATGCTTTGATAAACCTTCGGAATGCATGCATTAAATCAATCGCAACTTATCGACTATTTCCGTCAAACTTCGGACAATGACTACTGGTTTCTGTAATGACATTGGTTAAGATGATATTTTCATTACAGAAGTACTGTTCCTTTAAAATCACTGTAATTTTAAAGATATACTATGCTCATCTTTGAGTAAAATACTTGTATCACAGAAATTTATTGAAATACAAGAAATTCTTACTGAATATGTCTAATTTGAATCAAAGAATGAATAAATTAACTATGTAAGGGAAGCTGCATACCTAATTATGGGACATGTAAAGTTGGTCCTTTCTTAAATCAAAAAGAAAGAAAAAACTGCCTTTTTTAATGACACTATACATATTGTAACCACATATAATGAACATAAAATATCTTCATTGTGTTAAGTCAATCATCTTTACTTTAGACTGTGTAGCAATTATCAGTATTTTCTAACATAAAATTTGAGCATTAGTATATCTTTGTGAAAGTATGTAACGACTCTTATGTACAAACTGCAGTTACAACAACAACAACATCTACACAATCGTCTGGACAAGATTGGACATAGCCAAATGATTTTCAAACATACAGAAGAAAAATGGCCACCGCTAACTATGAACCAAAGTACAAACAGTAGGCTTCCGTGTTTGTTTGTTTTTTTGTAAGCAAAATGTGTTAAAACCAAAACTATCCGATTGTGAAAACAGAATATGTAAATTAATTATCGAACGAGTGATCAGAAGGTTGTAAAATTATTGTAACAGCAAAAAAAATCGGAATTATAATTTGTAAAAATGCACAGATGCGTAATTAAAAAGCCATACTGTAATTAGCATCAGTCAAGATTGTCAGAGCTAGGTAGACCATACTTAACAAATGGTGACGGAATGCTATAAAAAAATAACGGTTTTTACATAAGCATTCGAAGAAGTATCAAAATACCATTATCCGTGGAAGTTCAACTAAAAAGTTTATTTTTGTTACCAAAAATAAAATGTTTGAAATTTTTAACAAATTATCTTGAAAAAAAGAGTCATTTTCTAATAGCCGAGATTGTTTTGCCAGTTTACTTGTCGACTATATGGACAGCGCCATGTCATGAACATTACCTACTGGTATTGGTTTTCCCATGATTTAGATTAGAAACAACATCGCTTTCAAAATTATGAAAGCTCGCCGATGATTGGCTGTGTGAAAGGTCACCGGAAATGACTACGTATTTGGTCACGGTCAGATCTAAAAGCGTAGTGTTATTCAAAGCAGATTGAGTTAGGTATAGATTAAAACTAGTCGTATATCAATTTGGTTAAAGAGAATGCGAGTGCAACCGAACCAATCTAGTAGGGTATGAATTAAAATCGTTCTTGATTTGCTTAATTAAAATTAAAGGAATACACATGCACACAAACTGTCAAATATATTGCATTACCGTATTGAATAGACATACAAGTAATGATTATAGATATATGTAATCAGTAAAGATTATAGCATACACGAAGATGAAATATGTACAATATCGTTAACTTTGAACTGTTTTGATGATATGCTATTTCATTTCTTAAGAGGTGGCACATTTTCAACAAAGTGGCCGACAAGATTTCCTGCCGGTCTATAATTAGCAACAACGATGACTTTGCCCCCGGACGTTTTGGCTTTTCCAATACCCATTTCTTTACTGCCTTTCCATACCATCTGCGTGAAATGTCCTATACAAAAAACAACAACAAAAATATTGAAGACACCTCTAGTCACCATAAAACAAGATCAAGCATACATGTATATTTAAGAGTTATACTACATTTCAAACATAATTTATAGTCTGTTTCTAAAATATAACCAATATCATAAGCATTAATCATCATATTTTATTATTTATTATGGGTTATATTATGGCATAAGGATATGATATTCTATATCTAGCCGACCACGTGACATTCCTTGCATTTCAAGCACGAATTGGTCACGTGGGGCATAATTAGCTTTATCACGTGGAATATTGATATTCGTATGTTATAAGTTCCCTCATAAGAAAGCCGTCAGCCTCGTTACTAGGGTTTGAAATCGCAGACACAAGGGGAAAATATTTTTTTAAACATAAGTTTAATGGCATTAGCCATCCGATCACCATTACAAGATAATTTTGAGTTGGACGTGTGTATAATATTTAGCTAATGAAACTTCATAAATGTTGAAGCACATTCAATATCCGGTTTTGATTTTTTTTCAGGCTGAAAAAAAAAATCTCATTAAATCAAACTTATTAAATAGTATCAATTTAGATAAAGGAATATAAAACATGAACTTGAATGGTCACGTGAATATGAAAAGAAAACAAAAATACGAGATAGATACCTGATCCTAAAGTTCTGGGTTCTGAATGAAAGTCATGTTTGCTTATTTCACTGTACCATTGTTCACATGCCTCTCGTCCTGTAACAACAGAAAACATGTTGTTGTTGTTGTTGTTATGTTTATGTTTTATGTTTATAATTGCTTATGTTTGACCAGGTTTGTTTTCCTTTTTGTTCAAGAATACCTAATAAGCACAAAGACTATCACAAAAGGTTTCAAAGGAGGTGTTACTCTGGTTAGGTAATGAATTCTATTTTAAGTTTTTCTTAGAGAATGACCGATACAGTTGTTGTAAATCGGATAGTGTTTTACACACAGGGTTGCTCTGTAGCGGTTACACTGTATACATAAAAAATAAATTACAAAGAAATCATATACAACAAAAGTAATTAATATTTCACCTGTGTAATCAGCGCCTGTTGATGACCACTTACAACAAATGTTCTCTCCTATTCTTTCACCCTTATGTACACAATCACTATGCTTGAAGTCGTTATTAGCAGCTAAATTCTCCGCCCATTTCTGGGCGTAGTCCGATAGGTCTTTGGTATGCTTCAGTTTGGGTGCGCCGTGTTTTGCACTGCAGATATATGATCAACAAGTTATTTCTATCAAACCATGTTACGGTAAGCATCATTAAGCTTATTTATTTCCATAAACGAATGGGTTTACCTCTAACCTGCTAAATTTGTTTCATCGATTTGCCCCGCTATGAATTTGAAACGCTCATTTGAAAATTTTAATCGCTTCAGAATAAAGTTACAAAAATTGAGCTATACCCAATGTATAGAGCCTGGCTCAAACTGCGCAGGTGTGCTTGCAGGCCTGCCTGGCTGTGTACCACTTCCGGTTCCGGCAAGTTAAGGATAAATCCGATGAATTTGCTTTCTAATAATAAGAGGCTCCTACTTAAAACCAAACATGATAAACATTCGTAAAAGAATTCTGTGCAAATTAAAGTCGGAGCTATAAGAAAATCTGCCACTATTGCGCAAATCAAATTTAATTCAATATTTATTGCATTTATCATTGTGTATTCATTCATACATGTATTTATAACCAACAATACATGCAATAATGCAATTAATATGAATTCTAATAATCTCGCTGTATGGTGTAGATCAAATCATCAACAAAAGCACACATTTTAGGTTATGGAAAATTTCATAGAAAAACTAGCATCGACGACCAGACTCCACTGAAAATAATGTTTCGACATAGATTTGATTCCATTTGATGTACATCTATAGACCAATAACTTGTGTGGAAAACTTCAGATCATTTTATCACCCCGTTTTTCCAGATGAATCATTTGAATTGTGAAAAATGACCCTCAAATCGGGCTAAGAATAACACAAAAATGATTTTCAATTCATTTCTTAGTATATTTCTTCATTATCTGTTGCGTATCTCTCTCATTTAAGTACATCAACTGATCTATGTAAAAAATTGAAATTTTGTATTTTTATACTTTTAAACTTCAGTGGAGTTCCTTTAAATTGTATTATATATAAATCTTACCGAAGTTCATTATGAACTTTGACGGCGTCGTCAATAAAGTCTTTGATCTTTTGCGGCTTCTTTTTCTTTGATTTTTCATCATCCGAAGACGATGAAGATGAACTAGAATCCCTTTTTTTGTGTTTACTTTTTGAATCTTTCTTGCTCTGAAATGGAATTATGAACAATATACCGAGAATATTAAAGTTTTTTTTCTTTAAATACAGGAATTATAATCATCGAGTGGTATAAAAATAAATATTTCACGGTTGCCAGTAGCCACAAGTGAAATATGATAATTATGCTATCCCAAGATGAAAATAAATGCTCTATTTATAGAAATTTCCGTTTATTACAAACTTTTTCTTCTTTTGGTCTTAAGATTGAAAGACTGACCAGACCACTGTCGGGAGCATGTTTTGTTCTTAATGCAAGTTAATTGATAAAGCATTTTGACTTGCATTACTCTTTTTTAGTTCTTTCATTTGAGTGTTCGGTGCAGCATGAATGAATATTCAAGAAAATATGCGTACTAGAAATTTAAATGTTGTTGATGTTTTTCCACTTACACAACATTCATGTCCGGACTGTAACTTTGTCATACATAGAAGGATTTTAAAATAACTTGACATAAATGCCACCAAGACCCATTTCCCTACCTGCCAAGGTCAAGGTCACACTTATAGTTTGAAAGTACTCATTCTCACAAGTACACATTCGTGTCCGGACTGTACATTTGTCATGCATTGAAGGATTTTAAAATAATTTGGCACAAAATGTCTGCCACATCAAGATGCAAGACACATGTCCCTACCTTTAAGGTCAAGATGGTATGTTTGCTATATATAGCACTTCATGTAACAGAACAATTTTAAGTAATTTTTTACTTTTATTCTCTTTTTTTGGAAAGTCGCCATTTCATCTACAATGTGTTGGTGCAATATGAAACACGACATCAACAACAACAACCGTGAAACGTAAAATCAAGTACAACCTTATTCCTATAATATTTTATCAAATGGTATAGAGAATTTGGAAACTGTTTTGTAAAATAGCAAATATTTTTTTAAAAAATACACGCACAAATAAAACAACTGCAAGAAAAAAAGGAGAAAAATAAGGAGAACATAATGCGGCGGTCAAACTATACCTTTGAGTCATCGATACTAAGTTTTCCAAAGTCATCCGTTCCCTGAATAAAGAATATATTTTGATAGTGTAAGCTAATGGTACATGCATGACAAAGTATGAAAGCTAAAGGTGGGTAGTATACAACTACATGTATATCTATGTATATATCATGCTACAACTTACGCACCATTCAACTGTAACATTTGCCCCCACCCCCACCCCACCGCATTCCCACGTAAGAAAAGCCTCGGTACTGCGGCCAGAACGTATCCCAGAACCACCGTATTGACCTGGTAGAGCAGAATAAAAATTAAACTCCGGTCATTTTCCATCCTTTACCCCCACGCTTCCTCTGGGGTAAGGCATTAGTTACAATTGAAAATGTGCAGTACCTTTATTCGTATGATATATTGATAATTCTATATTATTATATACGTGCACATGAATATTCATAAAGATAAGAAGGTTTTTTTTTGTCTTTTTTTTAAGATACAGAGTTATCAGAATCATTATTTTCACACATTACTTGTCCTAAAAGAGTTTAGGAGAAATAAATTATTAGACAGTGCACAAACCTATATCTGTATGTAAATAAGTCTCTGGAAAGTGTGGGAAAAACATACATAATTAGAATTACAATATTCATATCAGCCAAAATTACGTATTTACTCCGGATCCCACTTATGGATAACACAGGCATTAGGCACATTTGTCTTGCCAATAATGGTCAAATTTTCATAGAATCTTAATCTTTATATATAGTAAACGGGTGCTTGATAGTAATTTTGTTCATGATTATCAAGGGGATATTATTTTATTATAATGTATTCATTATTGGTAAGACAAATGTGCCGAACGTCTGTGATGGAGAATTAAGCCCTAGTTAATTAAGCCCGGCCATGTACGTGAGGACACGGCATTAAAATCGTCGTGACTTTCTCCGCAAGGCGGTTTAAAATTTAAAAAGGTAAAATTAAGGCACTGTTGTTCGCTCTTTTAGCGCGAAAACAACAAGACAGTATCACACAACTTATTTCCTCCGGTATTCACCCGAACCCGTCCAGGGATAGTTACGGGGTAACAAATGCCTGGTGCAAATTGAAGTTTTCTTTATTGGCGCTGAATAAATGTAAATAGACAAACTTGAGAAAGCAATTGCTGTTTAAACGCTGCCACATAATTTTGACATTATTATATAAATGTCATGTAACCGTGTGTTTACTAATATGTCAAGATCTGCCTACGACTAAAGTTTGAAAGGATTTTGACTGATCAAATAAATTTTCGGACATTGTCAGTTCATACCTAACGAAAATTCAGGAAATATAAAGGGACGTAACCCTAGCAAAATGTTACCAAGAGTTACATGACTTCATATTTGCAGTGACGTCATATTTAAGTGTTTATATTAAAAGAAGGACCACCATGCACGTGCTACATATATTATACATCGAGCTAGTACCGATATATAAGTACATGGGAAGTTATATACATTATGTACAGATTCGTACCTTGCCAAATGGATCGGAGGAGGAACTTCCGGATGTGGTTGTCTCCCTTGTCGTGGTCACTTTGGAGCCGTCTGCTTTAATGATGGTTTCCTCAACAATTGTTTTTGTCACCCCGCCTAATTTACAAATAAATTAAATTCAAAACTTTTTGAGTTACATTCAAACGTCTAAAATAATGAATTGCTGCGATAAACCATGGTTTATCCGACCACAACAACAACAACAATATAAGACCATGGTATCATGACCCATACTTGGCCATGGTCATTACAAGATGTTTGTAGATATAGTTAACTTTTACATATATGAAATATTTATAATCGGGTTATCATATCTGTTCTTCCAGGTTACATCTATGGTAATAAAGAAGATATGAATTCTGTTCTTTTGCGGTTTTTTAAGATAAAAAAAAACACTTTTTGAATTATTTTTGTTATTGTTAATGTTGTTGTTGGGGTGTTGGTGCTTTCATTGATGTTGTGTTGCTATTTAAAAACTTTCATTAATTAGACAATGTGTATTCCATATCTGTTTTATATATAATAGGGTGCCCGTTTGACACGGCCCTTCAAATTTCCAAAAGGCCTGATTTAACCTCTAGGATTTTTAACTGAAGGGTCAAATTTTTTTCAAATCGCGGGGATTTGGCTTTGTAATTGGCAATATTTAGTCGATACTAGTGAAAATGGCATTCAGGATTCCGCTACTACCGAAACCCTGTTTAAGTTATATATATATGACAAGACCGGCTAGTCTCTCCCCGTACCTTCTGTAATTGTTCTTGTTTTTGTGGTTTTTGTTTCTCTACCGCCTCCTGTGGCCCCACCCATATCTCCAAAACCACGCCTTCCTTCCTCAAACCGACTTGAAAATGGGCTCGAGCCACTAGAATCTAAAAATATGAAGATATTGCTTTAGATATTGCTTACGATAGAAAGTATGTATATTAGAAAAGTATGCTTTAAATATTCTAAAATTGATATTTACCCTTTCTCGGTATCTTATAATGATTTTACTATCGCTTATTATATCTATATTCAACTAAAGAAAATAACATTCAAAAAGCCTAGTCCTAACCTTTCTGCACCGGAAGTATGATTTTGCCATCTTTTGGCGGGAGGACATTTTCTCCAAATTTGCCCATCATGTTACCAGCCGGTCTGTAGCTGGCTACAACAATTGTTTTACCATCTTTTGCCACGGCTTTGCCCACTCCAAATTCCTTGCTTCCTTTCCATACAACCTGCGTAAAATGACCTGCAAAAAATAATTTAATCCATTTAAAAACCGGCACTTCTCCGTGCGCAGAACGCGCATGCGCAAAATACTTCTTCCGCTACTCTGGAAATAGCGTAAAATTGCACGACTTTATTGAAATTCAGGTTAATATGTGCAGTGTACAATGTGTCGAATTAAACACATCTTAAGAAAGCTTTTCATAATTTAAATTTAAGCGCATATTATTTAAGTTTGATTAATATTTTAATATCTATTGATGTATTGTTACATGTTACAAAAACACACACCTTAATTCATAATATGTAACGAGAGATATTGACCCATGTTATATTGGCAGTTTTGTTATAGTTATTTACATGTACATACAGTTACTATTTTCAAACATTTGTTATTATTATATATATTTTGTACAATAATCTAAGATTTATGGAGATTTTTATTGGCATGTGAGACCATAAAAAATGTTGTACATTGTATTTTAAGGTACTGTTCAAATAAGACATCTTGATTTTTTGTGTTAATGATGTCTTTAATACAATCCCATTGAAACCTGTCTCGCTGTACAGATAATTTATAAATTTATCGCAAATGTCCGTGACGTATCTTTAAAGTTGTAACACTTGTGATTTCATCTAATAACCATCATTGGTCATATCCTGTTATTAAAGTGCTCACAGAACGACTAATATAATCTGAAGACGAGTTTCCCTTAAAGGGACTCAACTGAGGTTTTTGACATGACTGGATTTACAATAATTTTACGAGATATCGAGAATGTGTAGTCAAGACCAATAATTTGTGTGCAAAATTTCAGATCATTCGCCCTCTCTTTTTTTCTTTAAAACAATTTAATTGTGAAAAATGCAACCCCCCAACCGCATCTCCCAAGTTGAAAAGCGTTCACTCAAATCGGACTAAAAATAGCACATACATGTATAATACGTTTTTCCTATTTATTTCTAGGTTTATTTCTTAATAATCTTTTGCATATTGTTCTGTTTTAAATGACCCAGCTGATCTTTGTAAGAAATTCAAATCTTTTGGGCATCATTAGTGAATAGAAAAGATCATTAAGCGTTAAAGCTGCATGCCTCCAGACGAGCCAAAATATTTCAAGAACTTCAAATTTGAGAATAATGTACTATTAGTTTAAGAAAAGTGAAAAAAAATCCAAAACTAAAGTACACACTTAAGTACACACTTACAATTACTATGTACGATTTATGACTGATATTGCAGTATTTATCACCATATTTCTACTGCGTTACTAACGCAGTAAGGTCTATTTTTCATATTTTGAGCTATTTTTTTGGTAATTTACATTGGTTACAAGTGCCGTTTACAATGTAGATAGTATTTTCTTTGTTCAATTTACAATATTTTACTCTTTTAATACATTTTCATTTTTTTTATAAAAATTAGCAGAAATCTGGAGGCGTGCTGCTTTAAGACAGCTGTTACCGGCCGACAGATATAGACAAAAAATCGATGTAGAATAAAGAAAACAAAGACTGTAACATATTGTCCACACTCCACAGACACAAATCTAAAACTGTTATATTTGTGTCAGTTTGCCACTCTACAATGATAAAGATGGCAAATGTATGATTAAAATTAATAATTAACTCTTTATTATTCATCACCAAACGTTACTTGACGGCCCATATAAATCTATATAAAAAGGGGGAGCGGGTGTCCTTCTAGTAAAGGTGTCTGTTTTGGAACCATTGTGGGGCTCATGGGGTCACAGCAGTGTTTTCTTATATGTCACTCCGAGAAAGGTTGTAAAATAAGTTTGCCCAAAGTAAGATTTTTCGCCTTGTTTATCCGTCCTCCTTAAAAAGTTCTTCCTTATTCGATAAAAAAACATGCGTGAAGAATGAACCCCAAAAAAGGTGGAAAATGCGGGCCCTCCGTTGGGGCTATGACAAACATTGGGGTGATTTAAATATTTATGGAAAATTTAAGGGTTTTTCAGAATAAAAATGAGTTTGGATATAGTGGTATTCTAATCAGGCTAGGCACTCAGAAAATGTTGTTTGTATTTAAATTGCCAGTCCAAAGTAGCGACTCGTAGAAAACAATAACCGTATTTTCTTGTGTTTTTTGTTGCCTCAAGTGTTATTAAAAATCGGGCAAAAAATCAAATTTACAAAAGCGTAAGAGTCTATGAATATTTGCAATTACGAACAAGCTGTGTTTAGAACTATGGAAGAAAACGAGGGACAGTAATAAATATCTCAATGCCGTGTTGTACCTGTACTTAGTGAACTTGGTTCACCTCCGAACGTGTGTTGCTTCACCTCACTATACCATTGGTCGGTGGCTTCTTGTCCTAAAACGAACAAAAGTTCAAAATTTAACTTCAGTAAAGAGCTTTTTAGCATACACATATTTTAAACAAAAAAGCATTCATACATTCAGTGTATAATAGAGATTAAATATATGATTCATGTATAGGTACTTTTATTTACTTCATTTACAAACCAGTGATTTTTTCCTGTATTTGCCTTAGCCCAAAATAGACAAATCTTTCCCCAAAAATGCATATATTTTCCCTTAAAATGCCCTACTTAATAGCAGCTGATTTATATCGGCTGGAAGACAGACAGCTGTCCCTATAGATAACCTGTGCTATGTACCACGCATGTTAAATTTAAATGAAATTGAAACTTTTATAAAAATGTGTGGATAAATTCCATTCTCGTTTGTTGGAATTTGACTTTCCCCTTTTCTGATTTATCGCGCTATATTTTCCTCTTCATAAAGCCACAGTTTTTTTTGTAAATTGAAAAAAAACTCACTGCACTGAAACAACAGACACCGGTCAATTGCAGGTATATGTCATCATACAAAATACAATATCATAATACAGACTTGAACTTGTGTATGTGAAAAGATCATAAAAACAGAATGCCGTCCAATATAGTAACCTTAATTTTACATCGATGTCACTGTATAGAACCTGTATACTAATAAATTGTTTGTAAGAAAATGTGAGAGTCCGGGTAACTCTCGGAACGATTTTCCGACGGTCTCGGGTTCGAGTCACAGCCAGGCAACTTGTCATATTTAGCGCCAACTTGGGAATCGGAGATGGTGTTTAGCTTCGAGTCAGTTCATATTCATTATAGAAATTCGAGGACGAATTTCAATATTAAGATGGTGTAGAATTGACTACCTGCAGGAGGGAATTATGTGTAGCCAGATTGGAATCATAGACAATGATATGCTAGCAATATCTTATGTGAAAAGGAAAGCTTAATAAGTTTTCGATTTACTTTATTTCGACACACACAACCTTTACGGCAGTTTAGAAAACGAAAGGCATATGCTTACAGGAAATTACTACATGAACGAATTGAATAAAATGTAAACTCAATAATTCTGTAGATCTAGATCTTAAAGATAAATCTTAATTTATCAGAAAAAAATACATCGTTTACAATAACATTTGTGACTTTATATTTACTTCTCTTTCCTCTCAACACCCATTCACATCCGATCGTTCACGAAAGCAACATTTTTATAGCCTTAAAACACATTTTAGTAAGGTTCTGGTATTTAGTATGTAGCATTCATAAAAAAGATTGATTTACCTTTTCTGGGACGAATATTGAAGTTTAAGCTAGTTTTCTTCATAATTTTACAAATTTATTTTCCAATTATTTTGTTTCACAACAGGTTATATACACATGTATGTTCTTCCCAAAAAATAATAACAGGAAGCATTACACTTAAACAACAGTAGTATATAGGGTAATAAGAAAGGAGGACATAAATTCAGTGGTTTATGGTGAAATATGTTTTGCGTGACACACATTTCGCGTCGTGTATGAAACATCAGTTTTTACGTACATTTGAATCATTTAACTAAGTAGGAATGTATTTTTTTTTATTAATTTCGGTAGATATAATTGAAGTGTGACGATTTATGAAGTATGACAATGTGTTCTAAAAATAAACTGGTTGTGGTGAAATTTAATTATACTTTACTTTATTTTGAATTTTCTCCCTTTACAGCGTATTACAGCTTCTATATACATGTATGTAGCTGATTCACGGACAGTGTCTGACTCATTTGTGACGCTTTGTTTACATGTTATATTCAGTGCTTTTACATGTAAAATGCTTTTACATATAGTTTGTACTGTTTTCGACATGTTAGGCATTTACTTTCAATTGTGTTTTTACATGAATAATGTAAAACGTTGTAACATGCGCTCATCTCAGCGTATTTTACATGTAACACGTGCTATGAATGCGGACACAGGCATTGCTTTTCATACGTTTTTACACGAAGTGCTTTGATCATGTTTTACATGTTTGTTTTGTTGGATATTACGCCGAGATTGTTACACATTTTTGGACATATCTCATCGCATTGTCCACCTAACCGGTTTTCCTGACTACCTATCCAGTAATCCACAGACACTTGGGGTATGGAGCTTAAAACGCCTTTAAAATCCAAATAAAATGTATATTTGTCAATCCCAGCACATGTACTGATCATATATATAAAAAAAACCTAATATAAGCAGTTTTGAAAAAAATCATATTTCAACGTCTATAATAATACATTATGTATAATACATTTTATTTGGATTTTAAAGGCGTTTTAAGGGTTGCAAATGCCATTGAAAATGTGTTAATTGTTTCCTTTCGGTTACTTCACAATATTATGCTTTTAAATACATTTTCAAAATTTTCAAGAATGTCATGAATCTGGAGGTATGCTGCTTTAAATGTAATATATGCGTATTTTCCATGTCATTTGTCCTCATTTTTACATGTAAGCTGTACAGAAATTTACATGTAACTCGCAATGCGTTCAACATGTAGTATGCACTGCAAATTACATGTAATATGTCCTAATATGTCATTTAGTAATTTATGAAATATATAGAATGTCAAAACAGGTAAAACGTTAATCAAAAGTTAAAATACAATGTATAAGCACTTTGCGTAAAGCCTTGTCAGAAGTTAATTGCTCAATCAATCAATCAATCAATCAATCAATCAATCAATCAATCATCAACCAATCAGTGCGTTTTCTACATGGAATATGTAATATGTTACTAAAACTGTTTTTTTTTTCCCAACGGACGGTTACCTGAGGTCTTTCTTCACCATTTAAGCTAGAAAAATAGCTCTATTACATGATTTACGGCGTTAAAAATACTTTAAACGTCAAAAAGAAGATAAACATACCGGTGTAGGCGTCGGGTTGGGAAGACCATTTCATGGCAATATTCTCCCCCAGTCTTTCCCCTTTGTGGTCACAACTACTGTGCTGAAAGCTGTTGGTAGCTACAAGATGATTGGCCCATTTCTGCGCAAACTCCGACAAATCCTTCGCGTGCTTTAAAGGCGACGCCTGGTGGGAAAATATATTTATTTAAAATGAGTTTTCAATTGGAGTAAAATAGCAATATGAATATTGCTATCATAGGTAAAAATGTCTCACAAAATGTACACATTCCTTTTCAAAGTAATTACGATGGTGCAAAATTGCATGATAAACACTTGAAAACAAGTCCAGTAACAGAAGATATTAAATTTGGATAAAATATGGGCTCAATTTTTTTACCATGTCATTATATATATTTTCCCTTCTTTTGGCAACAAATTAGGTGTAATCTATTTTGGACTTTCAAACATTCAAGCCATGTGAGGTGCCCTTGCTGACTTAAAAAAGGGGCGGTTACAATAGAATTATCATCTATAAAGATAGAGGCAATAACACAAGTTTACCAATGAGAACTTTTTCTCATTAAAGTTTTGGATCAATACCTATACTTAGACGCTTGTAGAAACGATTATCACAATTAAAGTAGGAAAATATCGCTTTGTTTCGCCGATTCTTACATTTTTCATCTATAATTGTATACATGTATAAATTGGCGTTTTATAGTTCATTCCGTTGGTTGAAAATGCGATATTTTAATATTTAAGGTCTCACCCCGGTACGGAAAGTAAGTAACTTGAAAGTAGTTCTTTTAATTTTTGAAGTGGCCCAATTTAAGTTCTCACAAGTCTGATTGGTCATAATCATAATTACAGTGTATTAATTGCATGTGTTTAGTTTTTGTGTGTTTTAGGGTGACTTTAAAAGTTTTTTTTGTGTGTGTGTATTTTCCAGGAACTCATTTGTTGGCGGATGTACTATTCTTCAGCAGTCAGGAGTTTTCAAAGTGGTAAATTTAAACAGAGTTTAAACAGATTGAAAATTTCTGAAAAAAAGAAGATGGCTAACATATAATATTTCGGGCCTCATTTGACTTAGATAGCGTTGATGTTTAAAGTTGGAGACAGTATATTATTCATCAAAACAGTGGAATCGAGAATTTAGCCTCAAATGTGACTTAATTACTACGAAAATTCACCGGGCCGAGACTTAATCATTCAAGTGTCTTGCCCGGTATGTACCGGAATACGGTTTTTGGTAAGGTGTTCCATCTCACTCAACTTAAAGGGACTCCACTGAGATTTTTTTTTTTGACTTGATGGGGCTGAAAATATTTTTTTCCAGATAATTGTATCATTTGATGTAGGTTTAGACCACTTATCCGTATGCAAAATTTCAGATCATTCACGCACTTCGTTTTTCCAGAATAATTATTCAAATTGTAAAAAAATACCCAAAATGAAAAGCGTTTCTATACGAAAAGATAAAATATAAAAATATATTTCTGTTTAAAGTCACCCAGCTCATTTATGTAAGAAATTCAAATGTTGTGTTTTTAGGCTTTTAAACTTCAGTGAAGGCCGTGAGTTTTTGTTTATAAATGAATAGATAAAATAAAAAAATCAAGTTAATAACTCAAATAAAGAAATAAAGCACTCACTTGATGTCTTGAGCGGTACTCATTATGGGCCTGCAACATTTCGTCTATGAACTTTTTATCCGCCATCGTGATATCCTGAAAACATGACATTGTGATACATGTAGACTATCTATATAATATTATTATTATCTATTTCTATTTCTGAAATAAAAATAAGTTTGATATCATTTAATACCTTCTTTTTTGAAATTCCAAGAATTAAAAAGATGAGGTGGCCGACAATTAGCAATATAAGGGATTTTCCAACTTCCTGTTTCCAGATTAATTGTCTGAAATACCATTGATTGACGGCAGTTTGTCACAAGGGGCAAACTTTAACGGAATATAACCGATTATATAACATGTATTATTAGTCTATACAGCGATTGTTCATATAACAATGCGGTTTCCACATAAATATACTACGTGTATAAAGAACATGCAGGTGATCTTTTAAGTAACTATGGCCGGTGTAAACGGGCTGTCTTTCATACATATGATGGCCAATGTCTTTATGTTTGTCTTCAGATGCTTACTTTCCTACACAGGTTGTTTTTCAACTGAAAATTAAGTTTTTCTTAACGATAGTATAATCCAGAACCTTTATCAGTCTTGTCAAATTTTATACAGTACACGTTGTTTAACTTTGAACTTACAGGAATCGGTCTTGTGTTTTGAATAAGCTCTGTAAAGGAGGAGTGTTCTTTCCCAAAAGTGAGAATGATTCACTTTATCTTTTCGCGTATTATAAAAAATATTGTTATTGTAAAAAATCGAAACCAATTTTGCTAATATTGTTGCATAGTGTGTGTGTGTGTGTGTGTCTGTGTGTGTCAAACCTGCAAATACAGGCCTTCCAAAAGAAAGACCGCACATGGCCTTTATAGACAAGCGGTCTTTATCCAAAGTTTACTGGTTTTTTTATCAATGAACGTTTGTCAGAGAGTGGTCTGTATTTGCATGATGGTCTTAATTCGGAAGTGCTCTTTAACAAGGGTTTGACTGTACCTACTTAACATGACGTCTGGCGTTCATTTATTTAGCAAAAAAAAAAACAACAATGGTCAGATTTACCTCGAAATATGTCTCAAATCAATACATTTCCAGACAAGCGAGACATTATTGGTCAAAATGAATCCCCCCCCCCGCCGCTGCAGACATTATTATTTCACTATTGCTATAAAGACGTTGTAAATTTAGTGTATATTTACGAATGTCTGGCTGTGCTTAAATTTGTATCGATCCAGACAATGAAAATTGCATCTTTATTCACAGTTTCTTTCTGATTCATTTACATTATACATGTTGGGGGGAAATGACCATTATGTGATTTGTTAATAACATCATTTAAGTCATGACTTTTCAGTCTTGTTTTATAATTATTTCATACCTAATATTTTTTGTTCAAAAGTAACATACAGATAATTTCAAGACAGAAGATTTCACAAGTTTGATATGTTTGTGACACTTTATGTTAAAGGAAAACGTGACATTTCACTGCGAGCGTGACATTTTTGAGGTTAGCGTGACATTGTTAAGTCGTCACTGGTATATACAACGTGAAATTAACGGTTAACTAACAAAATTGGGGATGAGTGTGAATTTTAACAAAGGCGTGACATTTATCGGTAAGTGTGACATTCTAAGATAACGTGACAATTTGAAGCCGTCACATGCAATTAACGGTTACATGGAAAGTAGACAATGGGTGTGAAATTTAACAAAAGCGTGACATTTATCGGTTTGTGTGACATTTCAAGATGGCGTGACATTTTCACGATGTCAAAATAGATCCCACACAAGAGACGCTGTGAGTATTATTAATAGATAATGCGTAGGTGTAGGATATTCTTATTTTGATCTATGGGGTTAATTAAGTGATTCCTTCTGATACATTTCCTTTTTTACTGAGAACATGGCAAAACAAACACCAAAAAACTTTCAATTTATCTGAGACAAAAGACACCTTAAAACGTGTCAGTGAATGTGTAAACCCTTTATTTACAAAATATCAACATTTTTTTAGACGTAAGCGATAACTGATGGCAGGGATATGAAATGTCAAAAAATGATTAAAGATTGGAACATCGAAATCTTCGTTTCCTTGTCAAATTCTTTTTCAATTTTAACCTTTAATCTTTATCAACTGGTAGAAATATTTTATGTAAGAGGCGACAGAGGTATTCGGGTCAAGACAATAACTTATAATAGAAGCTATAAAATTATGGTGTAAACTGATAAAATTCTCAAGTGATCAATTTATACCGGGCTGATAAAAGGTTGTCATCGGAATGGCAAGGCCATAACACAAGGCAATAAGCCCATAACTCACTCAGTGGCGTAGCCCAAAAAAAAATTTTCCCTCCCTTAAAATGGGCGCTTTTGTTTTTCATAAAAAAAGCCCCCAATTTTTGGTTTTAAAAATAAAAAATACATTTGTTTTGTTTTTTTGGGAATCAGATTTGCCTTTTTTTTTTCAAGTCATAACTGTTATCAAAGGGTTTTACAAAAAAATTTTTGATAGTTCCAAAAAAGAATTTGAAATTTTTTCAAGAACACCGGGACAAATACAAAGATATGAAAAATTAATAAGAAATAATAAAAAAAAAATGAAATTCGTATGTTTCTATTCTGAGCCCATTTGAGTGAAAAAAACGGAAGTTTTCAAAATTTTGGAAATTTTAAATTGAATAATTTTGGGCAAAAAGGGACGAATGTTTGAAATTTTGACATAAGTTTTTTGGACTGGGCCTACATCAAAAAAGAACATAAAAACTTAAAAATTTCCAGTCCCCTCATAAAAGAAAAACCTTTTCCCTTTTTAAAGTCCCCTTTTAAAAAATGATTTTGATTAAAACGCGAATTTCAAAAAAAAAAAAATGAAAATTGGGGGGATTTTTAAATGCATGTTTGATACATATCAATACAACAATAGGTTTGATATAAGATATGAAATTGGCCCTGAAACTTAGTTTGTTTTAGTTTTACAATTTTATTATAAAACGATTTGATTATATAATACATCTGTATATACTTTTAACAAGGCGTTAATAAATTACTCAATATTTACAATGTAGCTTAATTAGTCCCTCTTGAATAACTTCACCCCTCTTTTAATACAAAAGCACATGTATATGTCACGTTACTCACGTAAGCTATTGATATGTAAGTTTGACGTGACCTTTACTAAATGCCGAAGCATAAAGGATTTGCAAAACTTTACAAAATTTTAGATTGTCTTGATTGTATGAAATAAAGGAAAAATAGCTTTTAATAATAAGGGAGCAAAGTAAGTTTACATGTACGTATATAATATCTACATCAAACTATGAAATATCACTCCTACAATTTACGGCGATTATACAGCACAACTCCTGCTTAGCGGGCAACACCTTTTCGGAAATAATTGATTGTTGCTAAGTGGCGTTGCTTTAAAAAGGTTAACTTTATTGTGAAGTTTTGATTTGGGGGGTTGATACGGTGCCGCTGTTATAAGGAGGTTAATGTTTTATAGAGGGGGTCGTTTTACAGAGGTTACACTGTAAAAAAGTCATAATAGTTAAACTTCTTAAAAGGTTGCTACGTTTTTGGGTTGGAATTTTGGTCACAACTATAAGGTCATTTTCTTACGAATGGACACCTCCTACTGTAGTTCATTTCATACATCCGGGTGCCACTAAGAACGTTAGGCCGAGCAAAGAGCAGGGTTGCATGGGAAAACTATGGTGGCTGATTTGGTATGCTTTTATGCGTCGCGTTGGTGCTAGCGACAACACGAAAAAGCGCCAAACGGCGCGATGTCGCGCTGTCGTCTTGTGCGCTAGCGACAAAGCGCCAAACGGCGCGATGTCGTCTTGTCGTCCTGTTTCTAGCGCGGCACTCCTAACGGCGCGTTGTCGTGCGGCGTGTTGTCGCGATGTCACATTGTCGCTCGGTTCAAATTGAAGGAATGGCTTATAAGTCAAGCGACAGGCCGGGCAATATCGTGCCGCACGACAACGCGCTGTTTGGCGTGCCACGCCAGAAACAAGACATCAGCGCGACAACGCGCTGTTTGGCGTGCCACGCCAGCAACAAGGCGACAACGCGCCGTTTGGCGCTTTGTCGTGTTGTCGCTAGCGACAGGACGAGAAGACGAAAGTCCGACAACACGCCGTTGGGCGCTTTATCGTGTTGTCGCTAGCGCCAACTAGACGCACAAAAGCGTACCAAATCAGCCACCATAGAAAACAGAGATTATAAAAATATCATTAGCATGTATTAAGGCTGTTATTAATATTATGTTGCATGTTTTAAGGATAACTGAATTCAAGTAACATGTGACAATATGTTAATACATGCATGACTCAAGTTTGTATCAATAGTTACATGTACACAATTTACAACATCTGCCGTTTACATCACCAGGAAAACGAATCCAACTAAATGTGTGTTATATATTTGATATTGTATTATCCAAATAATCTATATTAATTGTATTGCATCCGTAATATGACAAAAGGCTTGCAGGTGACAGGTTCTAACGTTTTCCTTGTATGCAACGGGACACTTAGATGAACAAAAACATGCACCCATACTAGCATATAATATTTACCGCAAAATAAAAAAAGGAAACTTATTTGTGATGTCTCCGCAATTAGAAATATTAAAAACCTTTCATAAATGATATTTTTAAATGATCCCACAATTGAACTGTGCCAATTTGCTTCGTATAAAATCGATAACTTTTGATCTCGACAACAATTGAAAAATAAATTTGAAAAATTTGCTTTTAAATCAATAAATGTGTGGAAGAAAAAGCAGTTTTGATAGACTAGCATTGAAATAGATTTCCGTTTAAATTAGTATTCCACTTAAATTTTGATTAAAGAAATCAATCCTAAATAAAGGATAGAAAATATCCGAGAAAATAAGTGAATTTCCTTACAACAGTTAATTAATATATAAAAGATATGTGTTGTAATATTATAATTCTATTTTATTAAAGTTAATAAACTAATTTGAAAATACCTTACTGCAAGTAAGATCCAAATATTTGCAAATATATATATGTATGTATATATTAACTTTATCAAAGTTGTTGAGTTAAACAGAAA